ACCATCGAATATCACTTTTTGAAAGGTGATATTCGATGGTTTTAAAAGTGATATTCGATGGTTTAAAAAGTGATATTCGATGGTTTTGGTTTTTTCAATTTTTTTTATTAATTCAGCAAAACGTTTCTTTATACTTCTATTTATTTTTTGGATCTAGTTTTTACGGCGTTCGCATTAAATACAAACCACCCTGTTACGTCACGTTTATGACATTCGTTGAATTATTGCATATGAAATGGAACTTCCATTGGAAGGCGTACATGTATTAATGTAAAACTAAATCTTGTTGAAATTTATCTGACTATTCGATGTTCGCTGGATAATAATTCCCCATTGGATAAACGGACAATCCTATGGTTTTTCAAAAATATCACTTATATCCACTCATGGATATCAGTATTTTCACTCATTCGCTGCGCTCACTTGCGAAGATATCAATATCGACTCATGAATATAAGTGATATTTTTTCAAAGCCATAGGATATATAATATCCTTTTTAAAACAAATGTTATCTAAGAATATAAATTGTAGAAAAAAGTGTCCATCCGTTCATTTGTAATTGTCTGTTCGGCTAATCAGATGATCGGATCTAGTACAGAAGCCAATAATTTTCTTCAGCGGTTTGCCCCTCTTGATTTTTATCACAACCGCCCCCGTAGATTATAAGCAAGTAGGACATCTTCACTGGAACCAGACCATATTCTTGTCTGACACACGAGAGAAATCATAATATCAATAATGTTTCAAATGCAGGGTTCCCTTCGTGCCTTTGCAAATGTTGAAAATTGTATGATATTGTAACCCCGGGAGTGCAACATTGCCAAGAGAAACTCGATCCCTAAAATAATCGGACCACTATTCCATTCGTACTCTATTCACAGAATCGATGGTACAGTTAGTAGTAACACTACGTTATTTTTGAAGGATAAATGTCAAACATTGCATTTTTTGCAAGACCTCATCGTGGACCTCATTAACTTTCAATAAATATTTCATTTTCCCCCTTGGAGTCCCTAGGTCTGAGATCAATCATTATGCATCTTCTAAATTACCGCGCGCTAGTGACAATTTAAATGATTGTATTTTAATTTTCACTTTGCAAATATTACATACATTCCTTACTTTACAAATGACAATGGAATTTGATGTAGTTTCTTGATACCAGGTTGATCGATCCTATAGTTACATATAAAAACCTATTTCTCATTTATCAATCAACCAAAATATTGCTGGCGTGTACGTATAATTGCAAATTAGCTCGATTACCATTTCTTTCATATCAAATTGAGCTTCATGCCAAAACTAATAAGGTGCATTCCCAAGTGGAAATTCACCAATCAGAAAACGTACTTATTTGAAGTAAGACATGCATGATGGGATTGAAAAGGGTGCCGTTTGTTGATTACACTACTCACCTAAAGTGAAATTCCCGGGGAAAATCCTCCCGGGGACAGATTAATGTTCCCTCTATTGACCAAACTAGGTACTAGTACTTCACTCCACCTTTTGAAAATAACCTCCACATATATATGTAACTGTAATGTTAAAACTTATCTAAAATGATATGAAATATGTACAATCACAGGCTGGTATCGAAAAAATTGTCCGCTGTGACGGAGCGTGCTATTTTGCATAGAAACACTAGGAAATCCGCACAATTTATTTTTTTACTCATATGTTTTGCTATATCAAAGAAAATTACTGACTCCATGCAATGAATATATCATTTGCGGGCAACTTTAACTTCTGTTTGAAGTCAAACAACGCTAAGAGTAAAAGCTATTGAAAACGGCGTCGGAGTATCATACTCCAAAATGTACCATTTCTTTTATTTCTTTTTAATGGTACAATATAGCGACACGATAATATTAACATATGTTTTCAGCATAACTCTGAAGGTATTAATGAGATCTTTATGTATTGGGTATTTTTAATTTTTCCAATAAAAAATAATGTTTAAATTTTTTGTCCGCTGTGACGGAGCAGTTTCAAATCTGAAATACGTCAGAATTTAGATTTATAATATATCTCTTTATAACTACACGTTAGAGGAGGGAGCGTATCAAATCTCTTTCGTAAAGTATTCTGAAAAATAAAACGGAATAAAAGTACACAATTCAAATTCCGAGATGTATATACGACCACTCTTTAAAGTGTGCGCCAAAGTTTAAAACTGCGCAGGCGCACCGCTCTCGCTAAACTATATAAAGAGATTACCAGGTACACGATTCAGAGGTAAGCCAGGAAGGCGAACGATCTTCGTCTCGTGATGATTTCCCATATAATCGTAATCAGGGAAGTTTCACCATTGAAATTGAAAATTACTATTAGATATACTTTGTAGATGTTATTTTTGAAGCTATTTAGTGTTTGCATCAATCAAATGGCTCATTTTGAACATATAAAAAGTATTTGTGTTTTGTTTCCCAGGGAATTGTATTGTATGTAGTACACACATAAACGTGTACATTATACAGTACTTGAATAGCCTGGTTTACATAATATTGAAGGGCATGCTGATTACATGCACACGAGTACATGAATGAAGGCCTAATATTGATATACATGTACGTAGCTTGCATACCTAAATAAAAAATAAACTCTTCTAATCCCCTAATGTAAACACGGCGGTATACGTAGCCCGATTTATCGGGGACTTTAAGCTTCTTTTCTCAGTTTGTACTGTAATCCAAGTTATGCATGGTAACTCATGAAAATGATAGTCAACTTTATTTCAGTATAGGGTATTTGCCTTTCGTTGTGCCTACTGTGGATCCATCACCTGACATGGTCATTTTTTATGGTAACTTATATACAGTAATATTATGTGGTAAAAGGTTATACATCTGTCGGATTGCAGGATGTCTTTGCGCTATTTCGAATAAATTCATATTATCCCTATTTATGTTACGCGGTAAACACGAAACAAAAATATGCCATATTCCGCAACGAATATGCCATATTCACTTGCGGTGTATGACAGATTCACCTGTGGTATATGGCATACACACTAACCAATGAGAACGTGATACGAAAGTATGCAATTGTCAATTGCATCGATTGAACGAACAAGTAAAACTTTATAAATTATTATAATGATTACTGAATCAACAGTACAGTTTATCGAATACATCAACGTATGCAGAAGTATCACTCACCAATCTCACGTAATAAACTTACCCAATCAATCCAGGATCCATATATTAGTACTCGACGCACTGACAGTATTGGTAATCCAGCGTAGTTTTACATTCAGAGTCGATTCTCGCAACCAATCAAACCAAGTCTTTCTGTATCACGTTTTTCACCTGCAGAATATGTCATATTCACCTGCTGTATATGGCATATTCTGCAAGTGAGTATGACATATTCTGAAGGTGAGTATCGGGTATTCACTGAATTCAATGCATCACATATTCACTGCAGAATATCGCATACTCACCTGCGGAATATGCCATATACCGCAAGTGAGTATGGCATATTCACCCGTATCACAAATACCGCGCAACCATGAATGTATGCCACATTCCGCATAACAATTTACACTACACGTGACATTCTAATACGTCTTGGCGAAAACGTATTAGAAATATTATGTTGAGTTTACACCATGTTGATTCATGTTGATTTCAGTACAAACCTCCGAAAAATGCTAAGAGTGGTCGTTTTTATATCTCAGATTTACATTACCCCAGATCTCCCAGAGGCTACTACTCATAATTTAGGAAAGTGATTTGTGACGTTCTCTCTTCTTAGGTTACTTTTAAAAGGTATAATTTGAATCTTAAATTCTTAACGTAGTTCACAGTTAAAACTGCTCCGTCACAGCTGACAAAAAATGTAAACATTATTTTTTATAAAAAATATTAAAAATACCCAATACATCAAGATATCATTAATACCTTCAGAGTTATGCTGAAAACATATGTAAATATTATCGTGTCACTATATTGTACCATTAAAAAGAAATAAAAGAAATGGTACATTTTGGAGTATGATACCCCGGTGCCGTTTTCAATAGCTTTTACTCTTAGCGTTGTTGGACTTCAAACAAAAGTTAAAGTTATCCGCAAATGATATACCCATTGCATGGAATAAGAAACTTTCTTTGGTATAGCGAAACATATGAGTAAAAAATAAATTGTGTGGGTTTCTTAGTGTTTCTATGCAAAATAGCACGCTCCGTCACAGCGGACAAATTTTTCGATACCAGCCTGTGACAATGGATATTTACATGGTAAGGTCAAATAAGATACTGTTACAAAAACAGCTTTTGGTTAGTAATATTCAGAATATAAAATCATTACGATAGACGAGAAGTGAATTATATAAAATTATCGAGTTGAGTAAATGGTGATAATGTTGCTTTTTATGAAGCGGGGAAGTCAAAACATTACAATTAGAAATCATAGTAAGCATTTGAAGATCATTATAAAGAAGCATTTAAAATCGAATCCACGGCAAAGGGTCTAGTGCACTTTCCATTGTGATTTCCCCATGAACAAAATGAATCATTTTTAGGTGTAACATAAAGAATACAATGTCACATAATACTTTGAAAAATATTTACAGTTCTATTGACTTGTGTGGATACCATCAGATTCCAATGGAGGCCATTGGTTTCTATTGATTTTCACACGGGACATTGAATTTAGCATGCTTTCTTTCAATTTCTTTATCTGGCTTGTTACACTATGCTCTGGGGCGTCCTCGCGTCATTACACTTCAAACTAAGTGTGATGTCCTAGATGTCCATATGAAGATGAAAATAACTAGGCCTATAGGTTTTGGGCCGATATAAAGATGGCAGCACCAGAATACAAAATTATAAATAAACACAGATCGATTACCATGCCATCTTTATTTAAATATTATTTCTTTCGACCTCAGCCTCTGATCTGGCCCAAGTTCAGTTACTGTATAAAATTGCAAACAAACTTCAGTTCCATTTTTTGGCTCGTTCGTATAATCAACGCATTACAACCAATCATTTTACTAGAAATAATTCAGTCCGTACGAAAATCAATTATGGCTGATTTACAAATTAGACAGATATGTGAACGCCTCACAAAAGGCGATTTGGAATGTTTACCCAAGCCAGAATCATCAATATTTAGAATATTCTTAAGCTCAACCTTTACGGGTAGGTGAACAGCAATAGAATACTGTCTGTAGTTATTGTGTCAAGTGTAATATGACATGAAAAATAAGCACTTTTTTCGTTGCCAACCAAAATTTTAAAAAACATCGTCTGCTAGATCTACTGTAGGTGCATTCATGCGCCTCTGGGCCTTTATTTATATATCTGAGATTTGTCATGGCTCCTCTAATGACCCTATCAAAACTCCGGTAGTCAAAGAAATCACTAGAGCCGTGGATCCACGACTAGATCTACTGTGGCTACTTATTAGTACTTATTGAACATGACTAGGTTTAACATGTTGAATTACATCTGTCAGGCCTAGATGTAGACTATATCCTATTTAGTCTGAATTATATTCAGACTATAAGGCACCTATGTTAAGGTTTGGTAATTTTAAATATTTGTTTACATAGGAAGTGCTATTCAAAATGGCCGATTGGGTAAAATTAATTTGCACATTTGTTACTTCAACTAGCTTTATTTCCACTTGACAATGTGCTGTGTTACTTTTTATTGAATTTAATTGTACCTTACTATTTAATTGAAATTTTGTAATGCTTATTTTATTGAAGAAATGGTTCTCCTAATTGATAATTTTGTGCAAAAAAATTCACTGCAATTTCCACAGGAAAGTAGTACATCATAACAGACTGACTTCTAGTCAGTCTGTTGGATACATACTAGGCCTAGATGTACCTAATGACCAAGAAAATCTAAAATTATCTTTTCATCTAAATTTGAGTTCAACTTAAAAATTCACTGTAGATCTAGGTAGATTAGATTTGTTAGACTTAAATTTATGAGTCTTATGAGGTCAAACTGCAAACTGAAATGAAATTGCACTTTCGTGACTTTTTCGTCGCGAATTCTGTGCATGTATTAGCTCTTCAGTGATGATGTATCATATGAAATCCCAATTTCTATCACATGGGGTTGCGTTATCCCGTGCCAGGACTATAGTCCTGAGAACGTCTCAGTCTTTTGCCTGTACGATTACAACATTCTTGCTAAAAAACTGACGCAAGTTAGCATTACTGATATAGCACATTTTTGAAAATCAATGCTTAACAATTATTTTCTCAGAAATGAGGCAAAGTATCATCTTCTTGTTTTTTAAAATGAATCAAAAACATATTGAACAACATTTTAGATAAATTTGAGGCAAATCACTTTGGTAGAACATGGGTCTCAAACATGATGAAAAAATGATACTTTCTGCAATTTTTAGGCGATTATTAATATTAACATGGTAACGAATGGGGATCAAGAAATGTGGTAGGGGGAGGTTTAAACGTTAACGGATTTGGTTGAAATTTTTTGTGCTTGCTTTCCTTTATCAAGAGGCCAACTGGGCAAAACTCCATCTTGATTTGAAAAAAAGTCTAAAAGTGAAATGCCCTAGAAGATATAGACATGTATTTTGACACCTTAATTACACATATGCAGGCCTGTCAACTTGGGGACACCTAACATGAGTGACTTGCAAATGTTGAACACCTTTGTTCAAATTTTGGACACCTTGGTCCAAATCTGAACATCTTGGCCACAATTTGAGCACCTTGTTTTCAATTTTATTGCATTTAATCACATTTTGGACACCTAAATTTTTAGCGCTCGCTACGCTCGCGATCTATCAACGGGGGGGGGGGGGGGGGGGGGGGGAGGTACGAAAATTTCCAATTAACATGCGTGACACATACGGGATTCGCGTGACAAATCCGAACAAATTGCGTTCGTTTTGCGTTGCGTTTTTTCCGACGTTCGTATTTTTACCGTATCGTCAACATATTTTGAAAAATTTTCTACAGAAATATTTTTGCGTGACAATTACCAGGTAAAATGCGTATTTGCGTGACATTTTCTGTCACGCAAAAAAAACTGGCGTGACTTCAAATTCTTCAGCAAATGCGTGACAAATACGCAAATTGCGGGACAGTTGACAGGCCTGCATATGTCCTACATTCAAATGTTCATACTTTCAGATATGACAATAGAGCGAAATGAACTCATGCAGAAATCCTTTCCTGTCTTGAAAAATTATTGCAGAAAACTAGGGTATGACTTCCAGGTACAGTACTCCTTTAATGTATATAATATTTTAATGGATATTTATATCATGTTATTTCCATGTTTTAACTATTCTCCAATATGCCATCATTTAAAAAAGTCAATTGACATCAATATACAGAGCAAGCCAAAATTGTTCAAGGAAATATGAAGATTTCTCAGGTACACTGTAGATATACACATCTTCATGTACCTGGTATGACACTACAAACCAGTTATTTGTCAGAATTATAGGCTGAAACTGTGTTGTTTAGATCATAATATATTTGCATTCTCTAAAAATTTACTTTTGAATCATCCCTTAGATTGTTGCATAAGTGGTTAATGGTATTTAATGACCCTCCTGGCTTTTTCATATACATCTAGGTTGCAGACATGAGGTGGGGAGTGAGAGATGATGCCCAGGATGATCATCAGACAACTGCACTTTGCCTCAAGGAAATCAAAAACTGCCAGAAAATCTCAAAAGGAATAAATTTTGTGGTACATGTATATTCAATATTTAACAGAACTCAAAAAAATATTTACAAAAAACAGCATGATACATGAGACACCATATTCAAAAAATTGTTTATCTGCTATCATCAAAGGTTCACTTATTAAATGCATATATATCTTAATTGTGTGTGTCAGGCTTATTAGCAAATAAATTATATGAGAAAAAAAGTTTGATTAAACCCCAGACTCCAATTGCAGGCATTCCTAGGCAACAGATATGGTACAAGGCCCATGCCCAATGAGATTCCTGCTGGAGAGTTTAATACACTGACAACTGCTTGCTTCAAGCTACAATTAGACGTTTCCTTACTTCATGAATGGTACAAACTTGATGAAAATGCAGTGCCATCTGTATATCTCCTCCAAACCATATCATCAAAGCTCCAGTATTATAATGATGATGATCCAAATAATTCTGAACTAAAGCAAAAGGTAAGGAAATCATTCTGATTTATCAGAGTCCCTCTTTATCTTAAATCCGATTAATTAATCTTTATTTGACATTATGATTTGTCAGTCTCCCTTAATATGTCATCACCAAGGTGACATATTGTTATTGTCCCCAACTTTTTGTGGATGGCTGTCAGTATCTGTAACAATTTTTTTAAATCATCTACAGGTTCTCAGAAGTTCAAATTTGACTTAAGATTTGACCTGCAATGATCTTCTCAAGGTCAAAAAGGTCAAAAGTGTATTTTTCAACTTGCTTCTTTACAAATCTTTTTTTCAAAATCAGCTACCTGTAGCTACAACATTTCAGAAGTTCTATTCTGACTTAAGATTTTGAGATCTTACCTTCAATTGCCTTCTCAAAGTCAAAAAGGTCTTTTTTCAACTTGTTTCAAATTGACCAAATTATTTTTCAACATCATCAGCAAGTTCTCAGAAGTTTGAATCTGACTTTAGATATGAGATTCGACCTTCAGGCCAAACAAGGTCAATAAGGTGTCTATTTAACTTGCTTCAAATTGACCATTTTTTCAAAATAGTTTTGAGATTTGACCTTTGGTTGACCTCCAATGACCTTCGAAAGGTGATGACATTTTGTCATGATAATGCTTTGACTTATACAATGTACTTTTGAGTTACCTGCTCTTTTAGATCTAGGCTGTGGAACTCGCTTTGTATGGAAATCTCTATATTTTCACAAGTCCCTGACAATTCATGAGACCATGTGGTATAAAAGATATTTAACTAAAAATATTACATCATATTGACTTTTTCCTTTGATTACAAGAACATGGAATATTATGAAAAGAACCACTCTACATGTATTGTAGACTCTATACAATACATATGCATCTACCTTTCAGGATCGGGCAGAATGGGCTGATATTAATGATCGGCTGACAAGAACATTGAGAGCTGCAGCCAATAAAGCTTACAAGGAAAAGAACCTTGATCCAGAACTGGGCCAGAAATATTTCATTTCAGGTAATACACCTGAGATTATCCAGTTTTTTTTATTAATTTCAAATTCATTTATTGTGTCACATCATACATGAAAATGAAATGAAAATTCAACAAAGTTTACCAATTTAACATTTGTGTCCAGTGTAAGTCAATATCATCTCAGATTGTCATATTCTACTCTACATAATCCCCTTTCTCCCCATTCAACAGTGTCTGCGAGAGAATGGGGGGAGGTCTTCACGAAAAAATGAGTTAAGTGCTATATAAGTTAAATGCTTATATGAGACAGTAGCATTAGTGTAATAATCCTCATCACAACATCTAAAACAATCAGATGCATGGTTTGCCTTGTCCTTATATCAATTTAGATCCCATTCTACAAAATTGTGATTGTTTCAGTAACTGAACAGGAGATTGTGAGTGGCCTCCTTGAAGCAGAAGATGTCAATACCAATGTTCTGTGCTACATCAGAGAGTTTGACAACATTAACATCAATCATACAAAAGCAGGTGCAGTACAGTATATGATTCATTTCTTCAAACTACATTATTTTGTGCCTTTTTCACTGTACGATATGTATTCATATTTGAAAATAGCAGTATGAAATAATAAAGGGAGGGCATTGTATTTTTGAAATTGAATTGTTATCAAAACGTGAATAATATATTGAGATTCAATACATAGCAATAATAAACAAGAAGGAAAAAAGTGAAAATATTTCTAAGAACATTTGGGACCCACACCATTTGATTCAACCATATTGTATCTACTCAAGTAAACCTGCTAGTATATTCACTTTCAGTGCGCTTCGTAGATTTAACAGAAGAATGGGAACCTGATGGTGAGGCTCAATACTTCCTTGCAGAACTCAAAGACACAAAAATACCAGATATTTTATCAAATAAGAACATAACCACAAATCTAGTTGACTGGCAGCCTATTGGGATTGATGAGAATCACGAGAAACATGTTAAATATTTGGAAAAATTGACCAATAGTTTTACAGAACACACAAAACGACTTATTGATGGGAAGTTGTCTGAAGGGACAATGTTTAAAGTTGACAATCGACTGTATACTGAAATTCTACATCATTTACATTTCTGCAGTGATAAGATCCAAATATTCTGTGGGAGGGAAGAAATACTGAACGAAATAAAGGCCTGTTTATCAAAGACATATGAAAACAAACAGCTAGATGAAACAAAGAATGAAACAAAGGATGAAAAGAAGGCCCTGATATATAATGAAACTCCAGAGCTGGAAGAAGACAATGAATCTGATGAAGACAATGACTCTGAAGAAGATGATGAAGCTGAAAAAGAGCAAGCAACTGAAGATAAATCCCATGAAGTTCCCCCAGAAGAGAGAGATTTCTACAAACAGCGCAATATAGGAGTGTCCATGCAGTTAGAAGAAAATGCTGAATTACAGTTCAATGCTCAGCAAGGCGCAGCCTTTATGTCTGCTATGGAGAATCTACCTCCTCTAACAGAATACAACAAACCCATTGTAATACATGGACAATCTGGGAGTGGAAAAACTGCCCTGGTTGCCAAGGTCCACCAGCTTATTCCTAAGTGGTTAGGATCCAACTGTGTACGTGTAATCAGGTTCTTAGGAACATCAGCTGAATGTACTAACATCAAAGAAACACTCTTGAGTATCATTGCCCAGATTATAAAGGCATATGACTTAGATGATAGTAACACTAAGAGTCTTGTTGAATCAGTTGACAGCATCTCAGAGATTAGCCAAATCTTCAATTGGATCATGAGGAAGATCAGCCCAGATAAGCCTCTGGTGATCATTTTGGATTCCCTTGATCAGCTATCCTCACAGGGTCTGCCACATCATCTTCACTGGCTACCACCCCTCTTTCCCACTCATGTACATATCATTCTATCCTGTTTTCCTGATAACAGCAAATACAATTTCCTCGCAAGTGCAAAGAAGTTCATTGAAGACCCCAATCGTTTCATTGAGATTCCAGCACTTGAATATGATACTGCTAGTGAGATTCTAGACATGTGGCTGAAGGATACAAGTCGTACCATTACTGCTGAACAAAATGAGTTCATATTGGAGATCTACAAGAAGCATCAGCAGCCACTCTTTCTGAAGTTATTATTCCACAAGGCAGCCTTATGGAAGTCATATACCAGGTCTGTACTAACAATTGTGTTCTCAGACAATGGCTCATTGGTAGGCTTTTGGTTATTCATCTCTCACCTCCAGTTGATGTTTGTATGTATGCATGCCTACTTCAACAATATACATGTACACTGTATGTGATAACTCATGATTTTATAAAAGTTTACATTGAATAACACAGTTCATATCTTTAAATTCAGACATCTTTAGCCTGGATCATGCAACTTGGAACTACTAGCCTCCTCTTCCCCATCCCCAACACCTTTGCAGAGCTCCCTCAATTTTTGGATTGTAAAAGAGCTATTGTCCTGCAAATCGCCCACCCTAGCCTTGCCCAAGTCGGTCTCTTTTACTATCTGATTTCTATTATGACTGGCGGTAATAATTCAAGATCAGATAAGTAAAAAATACCGACTTGGGCAAGGCTACGCCCACCCAGGAACATTGTGATATAGTCATTATATGAGTGATATTCAACTCTCTCGTTTACACATTGATTTCAGAAATGTTTCCTCATAGCATATTGAATTAAACATTACTTGTAGAATTAAATGTTTGCTTTGTATTAGGGAATGAGTGAGGGGTTTTCACTGTAATATTAAATTTTTAGCTTACTGATCTGATTGCAGAGTGTATGAAGTGAGATTGGGACACAATGTCAGACAGGCCATTGATGAACTATTTGAAGATCTTGAGAAAAAACATGGAACAATTCTTGTACAGAAAGCCTTGGGTAAAATGATTAATAATATTTATCATTATGCGTGTACATATTTCAAAGCTTTTATCAGTTGTCCTACTGAATGTCGATTATGAGGGATTAGACAATAGCTGTCTGTGTCTTTGTTTGTCCAATTCATCCATATGTCTGTGTGTTGGGCCAGGAGATAGCTCATATACCAGTTTACAGATTTGCTTCAAATTTTATTCGTTGTTGACTTATAGGCATAAAACCACAGCTGGAGAAAGAATTTGCAATATTACACTTGACACGTACTGTACTTTATATGGTAGGTTACCACCAGTATTGTATTGTTACAGTCTCCAATTTTTGGATGGTGTTTGTTGGTTGGTGTTTGGCATCTGTAACATTGTGACATTGCTTGGTGGTCAGCATCTGTAACTAATGACAGGTGGTGACATTTTGCATGTTAATACCTTGTTTACTTTATGTTTCATATTTTTGCGGATATTCTTAGGCTATTTGACTGCATCCAAGTCTGGATTAAGTGAGACAGAAATGGAGGATGTTCTCTCACTGAGTGATGAAGTGCTCCAGGATACATACCTTTATCACCTACCTCCCAATGAAAAACTCATCCATCTTCCTCCTTTGCTATGGACCCGTATTGTCAATGATATCGGACAGTACTTTGTGACAAGGAAATCAGATGATGAAACTGTGAATGTGTGGTACCATAGACAGTTCCATGAGGCAGCACGAGAGAGGTACTTGCGCACCTCTCTGGACAGTAAAAACACACTACATGTGGAACTGGCAGATTATTTCAAGGGTACCTGGGGAGAACAAGTGAAACCACTTGAGCTGTATAAAGTAAAGAAAGGAGTATATCCGGATGCAGATAGAAAGGTCTCAAGCCAACCATTGCAATACTCTACTGAGGGTGTGGGTTTATTCAATAAGCGCAAGATGAGTGAGCTTCCATACCATTTAGTCCACAGCAAACAACTTAGGTAAATGGGCAACATTCACAATACGCTAGTATTTCACATATTTTCATAATTTAGAAAGAGATATGTTGAAGATAAGTGACAAAACTAAAACTTTTAGCAATGGTGTACCCCGGGGGTGTACCTTAGAATCAGATTAGTATACAAGTCCCTTGTAAACAATGAAGTAGTAGGTACACTGTATATAGAAATAGAATTTTACTTCCATTTTTTCTAAAGTGAAAAGAAATTCATAACCATACATTCATTCCTTAATATTCAATGCTTTTTAGGTATATTGTGGAGGAGATTGTGTGCAATTTTGACTGGCTATACTGCAGATGTGTTGCCTCTGGTATAGGAGAAATACTCAATGATATCAAAGTAAGTCCCTTTTAACCATTGAATTGGATAAGAGGTCTAGCTCTTGAGATTGCTGTTTATGGGGCCCTTTCAAATCTCCGATATGACAATTTTCATTTTAAGTATCACAAGTTTTTTTTATCTAAATATTAGCAAGTATTGTACAAAAGGTGTAGCAGCATGAAAAATATTTGTACATATAGCTATCCTTTAAGGTAACTCATATTAAACAAGCAAACCTGATGATGTTTTACTTTAGTACATCCTGAGTGTGATAGAAGAGGAGGGTTTAGGAGTAGAGTATACAGAGGAGACCAATGATATAGAGTTTATACACAGCCTTCTTCTACTCTCTAAGGACGTCTGTAAGAGAAACGTCAAGATGCTGGCTGTTCAGGTAAACTTTTCATATATATTATGTATGTCCTTTTTATAAGCTAACATGGTAAGTTATTGCAGTCATTCACTTATCCTTCTGTCTGTCCTGTCTGTCAACAATAGTGGCACATTTCAAAACTTTTGCCAATAGGATTCCTATTTTTCTCGTTTTGATCAGTTCGACTCCTGATTCCAAGGCTTGCCTAATTTCAAAATGGCTGCCAATTTTGTTGTGGAAAATTCACTTTTAGCTATAAAGGAATTGTTGCATTAATTTGCATTTAAGTTTACAGGTATGTTTTGAAATGTATAACCAATGAGGTGGTAAAGTCTGAACAAGAATTCTTTAAAATCCAAAATGTCTACCACTTTTATTGCAGAAAAATCATCTTTGGAGCCTTAACTTAGGAAATGCATCAAAATCTAAATATTGCTTTAATTTGCATTAAAATGTACAGGTATATTCTCATATGTGATGTCAATGAGGTTTAAAGTCTTGACATAAGTTCTTGCAAAAATTCAAAAAAAAAGTCACATTCAGAGCCATTACTCAGGAATTATTGCAAGGCAAGGAGTTATTACTTCAGCAGGCCCGTAGCCAGGGGGGGAGCGAAGGGAGCAGCCACTCCCCCCCCTGGCCAGAAATTCTTTCAAAATCATGCAGTTTTTCACCATTCTGAGCACTTTTCGCATGATTTTTTTTGCCAAAAGCTGTCAAAAAGCTCCCTCCCTTTGCAAAAGCTTCCCCTTGTTAAAACTGCTCCCCCACCAGGTAAATCCTGGCTACGGGCTCGCTTCAGTATGCATTAAATGTACTGTATGTTCTCTTTAAATCAATATGGCTGTCAATGAGTCTGAAATCACTACACCATGTGAATCCAGTACAAATGGTACTATTTATTAGTTCACATTTGTGAGCTATTGTAATCGCCCACTTGTCTGTCCATCCATCTATTTGTGTTAATATGTTAATATTAATGTTAATAGTGTTAATATCAATGAGAGATTAAATCATTTAACTCACATCCGATTCATTTAAATTTCACTTCAGATAATTGGAAGACTTGGTACAAGTCATCATAAGAATTACTCCAAGGATATCAAATCACTTATAGAGGGGGCTAAAACTTGGTTGGCTTCAGTGGAGACACCTATGTTGGTTCCCAGTGACAAATGCATGTTCTCACCAGGAATGTTGGTTACAATGTTCAACATGGTCTTCACACACCCTGGAGGTTTGTATTTTATGTTTTCCCCTTGAGGGATGGTGTCAAAATTCAACAGTTGAGGAAGAAAGAAAGTTTTATGTGTGTTATTATTTTGGATTGCTGAACTGAAAAAAAAGTAATGGAGCCATTTTGTCAAAAAAAAAATTATGTGAACATTACACTGTCATTTTTAAATGTTTTATTTTACATTTATATGACTATAACTGGAAAAGTAGTGGACCAATTTTTATGTAAATACTTAAAATGGCATCGATTTTTATAGCTACATAGCTGTTCAATGGGATTTGCTATACCTTTGCGCTGCTGTTATATATTAATCAAAGGCCCACTTTGCATATTTTCAACGTTTTTGGGCAAAATAAAGACTTACATTTGAATTTCATAGAATGTCCAATATATTGATAAGAACCAGAACCTTATCTTTCATTTGACACCAACAACAACTCAAACGGACCACATCAAAGCTAACAATAAATTATCAAAAACCATTTTCAATCTGTCAAGCTTTATATATCAAGTTTTTATCAATGTCATTGAAAGATGGCAAACTTGTTTGTATTACATGATACATTTATTTTTATAGAAGTGTCTTTTAAATCAACAGAAGTTTAAAACATGTACTTTGTTTAACATGTGCATGCATGTCTAATGATCTCTGAACTTCAAATGCTTTTTTCTATGTGAGTTATTTTTTTTCTTGATTCAAGGTTAAGGCAAATCAAACTTTGTGTCATATTTGAGCGGGTATGTGAGTAACATGTTTTTAATATGATATGTAACATGATATTTTTTTATTTTTTAATTCTAAATTAAGTATAGTGGGCCTCTAAGTGCATTATGTTTCCAAAAATTCAACTGAAGCAACAATATCAAGAATCATCACTGCACACATACAAATGAATGTTTCTGTATAACGATGCATTCTGATATATAAGAGCCAGATATGTATGGATGCACTACATTGTCATTCTGTTAATCAGCTGTATACATACAGGATATAAACACAATGAAACAATATGGTTTGAACCTAATCACAACAATCCTTTAGGAGTGACATCTATCTTGAGGAAAATTATTTATTTGATAGTTATACTTTCTAGATCCCACTCCGAAGAATGTATTTTTCTTCAACAAGAGCTCCACAAGGTTGATCAGTTGTGAATTCATCCGGAACAGAGGTAGCCTTATACACAACCAAGACCTCAGCAATTATGGTGCAACAATCACCTCAGATCACATTAAGAGTCCTGTCCGGGCACTCAAATTCATGGCCAATGAGAGGTATGTGTATTTTTGTCTTTCATTTAGACATTTTTTGTTTTTATTCTAGTTGATACTTTAGTTGTTTGTCATATACAATGTTTTCACATCATCAGCATAATGTATCATGGAACAATTTTTAAAAATGTATATAGGTTATGTGTATAGGTATAGGTTTCTTTTTGGATGTGTATCTTGAATTATCAGTGTACACATATTTCATTCTTTGTATGTAGATATGTGCACCATGAGATATGGGATGTGAAAGACAAGTACGACCCTAAGACACATGACATGTTGTTGGATACCACAACGCAAAGTTGGCTCTCCTTGCCAACTAGGAGAGGGGTCGTCTCAGAGGGTGGCAGGTTTATCGCTTTCTATGGAGGTAAGTGAGAATCTTAGTTTGCTTATAGGTTTGAGCTTTTTATGGAGAAAAGTTGAGGGTCAAGCTCACATTGTAACAGGTTCATATGCAGGCCTGCAGCCGGGGGGGGGGGGGGGGGGGTTCAAGTGGCCTAATATTTCTTTTTAAATCATGCAGGTTTTCATCACTCTGAACGCTTTTCAATTGATTTGGGGCCAAACTTGTCAGATGTTAACCCCTCCAGAATCTTTTAAAAAGTGAACCCCTTGGCAAATTTGGCTATTAATGGGCCTGATAGGTTCCTCTTGAATTAGAGAGACCAGGTCTGTATGTGCGGGCATATTAAGATTCATCTCATAAGGTACTAGCTATGGGGCAATAACAGAATTTACGAATACATTGGTCTATATTGTTCTACATATATCCATTGTAACAACAATTGATTTAGGAATTCTAAATTTTATGAAATGACTCCAGGTTCATAGCTCTTAATGGAGGTAAGAGAGAGTTCATCTCAGAGGGTCACATATTACCTACAGTATATTGGCACCTATTTCTGGAAATTGGTAAAATTTTAGTGTAAATGTCAGTTATCAGTAAGAAAAAATTAAGTAAGATCAATGGAAATATTACATGTACTTAAATTTTTGGTAGTTGATCACCCCTCATCATTACACCTCTTTTCACATTCTTCAGATTTTACTCTGCAACATTCCTTCTTGCACACTTCCGGGTTGCATTCTTTTTCACAAGTTTTCCTTTTATTTTGCAAGCTTTCTTGCAACCTTTTTGTCATCTCATATCTCTGTGCAGTTTGTATCTGAAGCAATAATGAGAACTAAGGTACCAAGTTCAAAGCTTTCTATTGAGTTAAGCAAAGCGTCATTTCATATGGTACCAAGTTCAAAGGTATTGCTCGATAGAGCAATATATTAGGCACATTTTCTGAAAAATTCAAAAGATTCTGTTCAGTGACCTTTCCCAAGCTCCTTTAAACTATTTTTCAGTCACATTTTCAGAGGGCTGAAAAAGTTATTTCATCATGTTTAGGGTCATTCTGACCACGGCCATGTGATCCTGGTCATGTAAATGTTATGTGGAACTAGTTAAACTGACTGGATGTCAAAACAGAACTCTGATATCTTGGTCCAAAAAATGTTTGAAATCCAGCATTGATTTGTCATTTCCTGTTTTGTCATTTCCTGCTTAACTACCATGGCACCTTAACCCTTTCACGATGATGGGCCCCATATGGAACCCTATTATGTAATATCTTTCAGGATGATAGGCTCCTTTTGGCACCATTATTTTTATTCATATACATCAATGAAATGACAATATCTCCTGTTCTATTCAGTATTTTTACACCAAATTTTTACTTGTTAAAATGTGATAATTCTTACTAAAAATTATATTTCAGTGACGAAAATTGAGGCATACATGTAGGTGCCAGGGTATGGGTATCTTGCAGATTTTCCTTAAAAACTGCTATTACTTTTCAGTCACCTGACTAACATTTTCCTCTTGTATTCATGTCGGGAAAGGATTAAACAAATCTACATATACATTGTAACATTATGTTCTTGATATTAGGGAAACCGTGTGAACAATTAAAAATATCAACATTAAGCCAGCTTTATTGTAGAGAAAGAAACTATTTTTATGTATGTATAATCTGCATGACAGTTATTCATTTAACATAAACAACATAGGATCTCTTTGAAACATCAATGTGTTCATAATTCTATCGGGCATCTGGACCATCAACAGTTGCTTTTTCACATTCTTTTTTACATTTTTCTTTTCCGTTACACTTTTTTATGCAACAGTTCCTCTTGCAATCCTTAGGGCCACATTTCCTTCTACAGTTTTTCATCTTATTTTCATCCATGTCTTGGCAATCCTGCTTGCACTTGTCCTTTTTATGTTCACATTTTTCAGTGCAGTCTATAACTGTAAAAAAAGTGGTAGTGGTAAGTAAATATCAGTTACTAAATTGAAAAAAATCAAATTACAGGAAAGGGTGGATGTGAAATGTTCTTTTAAAAATCATTTGGTGGGAAAAATGTGGATTCTTTTTCTAAAAAAAAGCTGTCTAAAGAATTTGGTTCTTTATTTGAAAATTGAACCCCATTTTTGATTTTTGCAAAACCGACCCATTTTCAAATAAGACTCATTGCTCAGAAATGATGTATTCAAATTTTTAATTATGTTTCATCACTGCGCCTTGTTTTCTTTGGCTCTGCCCTCAAAGGAGGCAGGGTGGTGGTAGTCACTCATTAACATAAATAAGATTTACATAAAGCATCGAATAAATCAACTCTTATGATATGTTTTGCTGCTCTTACTTTCAACAGATGCTTCTTCACATTCTTTTTCACATTTTTCCTGTCCATCACACTTTTTCATGCAACAGCTCTTGCAATTCTTGCTGCATTTCCTTTCACATTTCTCCAATTTATTTTCATCTATGTCTTGGCAATCCTGCTTGCACTGTTCTTTTTTATCACCACATTTTTCAGTGCAGTCTGTAACTGTAAAAATGATTGAAAAAAACATGTACAAAATGTTCACACTGTAACTGCATGTTTTAAAAATAATAAGGGGGATAAACTACACATGTTTAAGAGCACTTGTACGTAACCATATAGATTTATTGTACTTTCGGGATAGGTTGTACCTTTGTTGTATTTACATGCCCGTTTGAGTTGAAAGGTATAAGGAAATTAGTTGTAATTAGATCACTGGAAAAAACAATTGAGTGGAGGACAGTAAACCCTGGGAACCATGATATTAAACGTTCACTTTAACCTCCCTAATATACATGCTCATGTAACTAATTATCGTAACTTAAGGACTTTTTTCAAATTGACAACATTTTTGAAATATTATGAAATTTGATCCAATTTTTTAAAAGGATGCCCAATTTCTAAATAAGGCCCATTTTCTCAAAAATGAAGCCCAAAAATGAAGCCCATTTTTATTTAAAAAATAAAAGAAATATGCGCACAATTTTTTTCTTAGGTCCGCCAGTATGATAGTCACTCATTTAACATTAACAAAACATAAATGCAATCATGACTCTTACCATCTGTTTCAACGCTCTTATTTGCAACAGATGCTTTTTCACATTCTTTTTTACATTCTTCTTTTCCATCACACTTTTTTACGCAACAGTTTCTCTTGCAATCCTTGCTGCATTTTCTTTCACAGTTCTTCAATTTATTTCCTTCCATACCTTGGCAATCCTGCTTGCACTGTTCTTTTTTATTTTCACATTTCTCAGTACAGTCTTTTACTGTAAATATGATAGATAATTGTAACTTATACTAACATTATTTAAAACTAGGCCTTATTTTTCAAAAAAAAAACTGTCACCTGCTTAGTTCAATCAAGGACGTCCTTGGTTCAATCATCTTGCACCTGTTTCCTAAAGAGGGTTTGTTTCTTAATATTCTTACCAGTTTTATTTTTATTGGAGCCCTTTGGCATCACAGTCGTCTCCATTGGCAACATGGTTGTTTCTTGTGACTCACACTTCTTGCCCTTACATTTTTTGTCAGTTGTCACTGTTGGCTTCTCAGTTGTTTTGTCAAAGTCATTTGTTTCACCACAGTCAGTTGTATTATAAGTTTCATCTGAAGCTTCTGGCATCACATATTTTCCCCAAAACAATATGGCATCTGTCTTTAGGTCACGAATGAAGAAAATAAAAGGATGGTCACATCGCACAATGTTGGGAGGGGGAGGTCCAGATCTTCCACCCGCAATAACTGTCACTGCTGCTGCCTCAGTACCTTTAATATTAATATATTAAGCATTTTGCTAATGTTTCTGTATATACTGGAAAGGTCCCACTGTACAGAATGTACAAATTGTAACCTATAGAAACTGAGATTGTAGATATTAACAATTGAAATATTGTTGAACTGACACAATCTCTATACTTGTCCCAATGTCAAGCGACAATGAAATAACTTAAAGGTATAGGTATTGTGGATAATTGTTAATATATCATAATTATAATTGATGTAAGAAGCTCACCTTCCTCATTGACTTCTATGAAAGCCTCATGAATGACTTCATCTATTGACAGCCTGCTATTAGTTCCCATATTGCTCAGGTCTGCCCCGGAAAACACATGATCCATACCCATTCTTTTCAAGTTATTGTTCAAAATATACCTCTCCTTTAGCTTGAACTTTGGAAGATATACAGTGATGTTTCTATCAGGCACCAGATACTTTAATTCACTTTCCAGTGTTTTTGAGTCTAGTTTTGCTTCCAATTCTTCAATAGTGGTGGAGCCATTGTTTGGGAGTATTATGACCATACTCACACAGTCTCCAACATATGGGAGTTCCACAAGTTGAGCATCTAGGATAGATGAAGGGCTACTTGTGTATTTAAAGAAAGTGGGAGGACGTGTCATCATGCAAACTTGTACAACTTCATCTGCTGAAACGTGAAAATCTGCTTTTTCTGTAAGGGCTTTATCAAATTTGTATTTCCATGCACCTTTGAAATAGATTGCATTGACAAGCACAATTACAGTCATGGCATCAATATTGTCTGGCTGGATGACATCCTTAAGTTTATTGTTGGTGACAGTCGCTATCCAGTCATTAATATATTTACGACTTTTTTCAGTGTCTTTGAAATTAAGTTTCTCAATCCTGGCAGCTGTACCAAAATATTTGAGAATGTCAGTCACAAAGGAGGAAAGTAAATGTAAGGTCAAGTCAGGATAGATGCGGTTGACTGTGTTCAGCTTAACAGATGTCTTGCCATTTATTGAATCATCCAGGCATTTTCTCATGCTATGGACTGTTCCTGTCATACCATCTACATGAAAGATCTTTGCAATGGAGTCGGAAGTATGCCCAGCAGTACCTAATAGAACCATCATAAAGCATGTGGCAATGCTATATGGACTAAACAACAGATTAGCATTGGGGTCATCTTTGATCATATCCATGTGCAAATCAATGCCAAATTGATTGAAAGCATTTACTATGCTTGCATCACAATCTTTCTCACACTTGCCCTTTTGTCCAGTTGCCATTGTTCCCATGAAGAGAGACATCACACCAAGGGTCACCGCCACGAGCATCATTTTGCAGGTCATCTTCCTCAGGTGACAGGATCCTACCTGACGTGTTACTGATCTTTCATTATATTTTATAATAATTTCTATTCTGTGTGGTAACTGTATATGTGGTATACATAGCGTCATCAACATACGTTGGCGATTCCACTCCAAATTATTTAGCTTGAACATGTCCATTGAATGATTTTCCAAGACTGTACCTGATAAATTAAAAAATATTTAACCTTCCTAACAACATAATTATAGTCTTATCTTCATACATGTTTGTTCTTTTCTAGTTCTTTGTATTTCCTATATATTGAATAAGGAAAATCTCAACTGCTTCGTTTATTCCTTGTAGAGGATTATTGTGAATTAATTCAACCATCTGAATAAATAACAGGCATACCATTTAGCTAAGGGATTGTATAAAAACATTAAAGTTTATTTCATCATTAATATAGTACCCTTATTTCATGAACAAATTAATACATTGAATTTTTATTTGCTAAAATAATATCTTCTTTAGGGCAATAAACATTTACCCCCTCCCCTAAAGAACATTAAGTTTTGCGAATATTGATATAACAATGCATTAAATGACAGATTTCTGGATTTATATATGCCAGTGGATTGTCAGTTTATGAGTTGAGCTGACTTCATGCTTTTTGTATTCAGATTACAATTGTAGTAATATTAACATTCAAAGTTATTAACCATAAACAGTAATATATATGGAGATAATGATATTAATGTTTTCAGCTAAATAAAGGCAAAGGGCATACTAGATGTTTAAAAAATGTATATTTGTAGTAGAATCATGCAAGCATATAATTTTGTCACTTAAACTTCTATAACAAGAGCATTTAATGATTTTTTATATGCTGTAAATTGCTTTAATGTGAAGGCCGTTTTTGATTTGGTGGATGGATAGAAACCACCAAATTAAGTCTTCGCCAATTTTTTTAAAGTGAAATTCCTGGGAATCCCCTTTCGTACCTTGCACGATAAAAATTTGGTGAATCATGAATAAAATGTCAATTTTAAACTATTTCCAAAGACTTTCAGATTCCCCGCTGGTTTATAGAAAACAATCTGATACCAGGAGGGATACAATTTTGTTATTGGTGGCGAGATATGAACTGAGTAATATGATTGATGATGGTCAATCCGCCAAATTTAAATAGCACCAAATTAAAGCAAATTACAGTAGATAAAGAGCTGCATTGATGCAGATTTAGAGCAACTATACATACACAAAACTTGCATTTCTGTGACATCATTTGTTTTTATCGTACCTAACAAAAGGTACGATATTGTAGTCAGCTTGGTGGGCGGGCGGGTGGGCGGCGGGCGGCGTCTCACTTTTCAGCTTGTCTACAGGTTTCCAGCCAAACCATTTGAGGGATTCATCTGAAATTTTCAGGGATGTTTCTACATATCAACGTCAAGAACTGATTAGTTTTTGGGCATTCTGGGTAAATCTTAAGGTGGCCATTTTGGATTTTCCGTCCTAAAATCTTCACTTTCAAGACTTGTCTACAGGTTTCCAGCCAAACCATTTGAGGGATTCATCTGAAATTTTCAGGGATGTTTCTACATATCAACGTCAAGAACTGATTAGTTTTTGGGCATTTTTGAAAAATCTTAAGGTGGCCATTTTGGATTTTCCGTCCTAAAATTTTCACTTTCAAGACTTGTCTACAGGTTTCCAGCCAAACCATTTGAGGGATTCATCTGAAATTTTCAGGGATGTTTCTACATATCAACGTCAAGAACTGATTAGTTTTTGGGCATTCTGGGTAAATTTTAAGGTGGCCATTTTGGATTTTCCGTCCTAAAATCTTCACTTTCAAGACTTGTCTACAGGTTTTCAGCCAAACCATTTGAGGGATTCATCTGAAATTTTCAGGGATGTTTCTACATATCAACGTCAAGAACGGATTAGTTTTTGGGCATTCTGGGTAAATTTTAAGGTGGCCATTTTGGATTTTCCGTCCTAAAATCTTTACTTTCAAGACTTGTCTACAGGTTTCCAGCCAAACCTTTTGAGGGATTCATCTGAAATTTTCAGGGATGTTTCTACATATCAACGTCAAGAACTGATTAGTTTTTGGGCATTCTGGTTAAATTTTAAGGTGGCCATTTTGGATTTTCTGTCCTAAAATCTTCACTTTCAAGACTTGTCTACAGATTTTCAGCCAAACCATTTGAAGGATTCATCTGAAATTTTCAGGGATGTTTCTACATATCAACGTCAAGAACTGATTAGTTTTTGGGCATTCTGGTTAAATTTTAAGGTGGCCATTTTGGATTTTCCGTCCTAAAATCTTCACTTTCAAGACTTGTCTACAGGTTTCCAGCCAAACCGTTCAAATTTTTACATATGTTACACAGTGATAAGTTCTAGAGCTGATTAACTTTTCTGGGGCCATCTTGCTTTCTTGGTCAACAAGACCACAATGCTGTGTTTTAGGTACGATATTGTTCACGTCTGTGCCTTGTTGAAAGTTTATGAAAAGTTCATATTTTCCATAAAACTAAGATTTCAATGGAATAACAGGTGGCCCACAAGTAGAATATCAGCTTCCCACTTTGACCACAGATCAAATAGAATATGTAAATTCAAAACATATCCGGATTCTTATTGTTATAACTAAACTACCCTCAACCACATATGAATGTATATGTATCATACAATAAAGTTTGATTAAAAGTAATTAATTCAATAGTAGTAAAAGCGAGGAATCAGCAAGAAGGACTTTTTCTAGTAGCAGCAAAATTCACAATTCTTATCTTCTTATCAAATCTGGTAAAAAGTCCTATTTTTCATGATCTTCTCAAATGGTTGCAAAAGGGACCTGCTTAGGTGCATTTATGCACCCTCTGGGTCTCTGAGGATCGTATTGGCCCCATGCAAGTCCATACGACAATCCAACGCATTAGAGGTGGTGTTCACCGTCTAGGACCTGCTTTATTGCTGTATATATCACTGATTTACTCAATTGTGTAGAATTCAGGGCAAATGGTCACAAGTTCTATTCCACCTTAGTTTTGTGGACATGCCTGTAAAACACAAGAGGAGAGGATAGTGTAATTTTTGTTAGAAAACTCAACAGATTGCAAATTTCTTTTCTTTATAAGAATCTACAAAATTGCTCAGTAAATATGAGCACCTCGTAAAGTCTCATTTTGTCCCGTCCTCAGCCCTGCCATGTTTTTGTTGTTTCAAGGTTACAGGGTGTTCACAAAAATGCAATATAATAGAGAATGAAGTGTGATACTTTGTAGGGAATGCATGTTTTGTTATAGAGTAATATATTCAGTTCATCAAAAATTCTTAACCACAACAATATGCGGCTGCTACCCACCACTGCATATTAGCATACAATATGAATAATGACATAGAGGATACATGTATATATAGAATATGTATTTTTTATTCATAAAGATATTGTTAATTATGATAAAATGTCATCACCTGATTGCATCACAAAAGTGAAACAATTGTTACAGACATTGATAAATGCAGTCACAAAAATGGTGTCCATGTCACCCTTTCTTGATGGTGACATGAATGAAATATCACCTATGAATATGACATTTTACCTCCAGTATAGTGGGGCCAGGCATAATTGATAATAATACGTATAAGGAGAATAAGATGTATGCGTCGAAATGAACTAATTTAACTGATCCAAAAAGGATGTCTTTCATGAGAAATTATAATGATCAAGGCTTGTTGTGACTAAGTATTTTCCTTCTAGAATCATTATAGTGTATCTTTAGTAGTTGGAGCATGCTGATCTGGGGAAATATTGTGACTAGAATTAAGAAATATAGACCAAAGAGCAGGGGTAATATTAGCATACAATATGAATAATGACAACCCTTAGGGCTAGGCACAAAAGCTTTCGAACCCCTCACTCCCTTCGGTCGTTTGGGGTACAGAAAATGTTTGTGCCTAGCCCTGCGGGGTGTATTCGACAATATTACATCTACTCTGAGGTCTATATTACAATTCAAACATGAAAACTCACCAAAATGTTTCGAATATTCATTATGGTCCGCCATTACTACGGCCCGCCGTTATGACGTCACACATTACACCTATTACCAGGGGTTTTGTTCGCGAATATACCCCGGATGAAATGTTGACTTTGTTTACAGTTTATAGAAGGCGTGAATACAGTCATGTTCGAATTTCAATTTAAGAACTTGCATTGGCACCTTCACATAATCGATGTGTGATACATAAATATATTGTACATATTGAGTATTTTTCACATAAACCTTGGCAGACACTGTACAATACATGTTTAATGAATAAATTATGTACCTTACATTGTAGGTTCCAAAGCAGATCCCTCAAAAGATGGCTATGTGTGCATATTGGATACAATGAGAGTTGCTTTCTCACTAAAAGATCAGGGAAAAACTCTTCTAGTGCTCTTCTCTGCTGATGAGAAATATCTGGTTGCAAGGACTAAGGATGTAATCCATATATGGAGCTTGGAGAGGCAAATACGCCTACACACAATAGGCAAAGATTCAGGAGAATATTCATTTTACGGGGACCCAGATTTTTCTGGTGTGACATTTCTGTTAGCAGACTATACACTAGTTTTCCCCAAGATGGGCTATTCTAATGAAGGCACACTGACTGCATACAATATTGAAACAGGGAAGAATTTATTTGAAACTGAGTCTGAAGGGGACAAAGATGGTCACTATGGGATCAACATAATTTGCTTTGATTCAGTTTACAAGCGAGTGGCAACAGCATCTTCAAGTGGTGGGATTGTCAATGGAATCCGTGACAAGCCAGTAAGTGTGTGGAATATGCAGAATGGAAAGCTGATGTCCCTTGTCAAACAAAACAAATGGCATCACAATACAATAGTCATAGCGGGTACAAATGACCAGTTTCTTTTGTCAACTCCTAACCCAAAAGGCCATATCCTCATCCATTATATAGGAACATTCAATAAACCTTGTTCTAATGGGGTTTTGGTCTATACCTTAACGTACCATTCCGAGGTTGTGTTTCAAATTGGTTTGACTGCAGACAGCACCAATATGGTAACTGCTGGCCGTGACAATGTTTTAAGGCTATGGAACTGGGGGAATATTGAAATGGAATGTAACTCACGTGTAGAAGAACTGGGTGAGAGGATTACTGAAGTAGAGGCTTATCCTGAAGACACTATGTGTGAAGCTGCAGCCGTTGTCCTCTCCAGGTGAGATATACCATAACATATTCATCATCTCCCAATCCCATATTCTTTAACATGGGCCAGGAAATAGATGTAGGGAATGAAAACAAAGTGTTCAATGAGAAATGTGATTTTGGTTTCCTTTATTTTCACTATTTTAAAAATGTTCTTCAAAATGATTTCAAATAAACACCTTATGGTTGAAGCATTTAAATTCAGAAATATTGAGATGCAACTGATAGTCATTTTATATGTCACCACCAAGTGATGACATATTGTTATAGTCTCCAACTTTTTGTGGCGGTGATTAGTGTTTGGTATCTGTTACAAATGGCAGGTGGTGACTTTTGCATGTTAATATCATATTTAATTGAATTGTAATTGAAAAATGAATGTTGTGTTGCAGTCAATACAGATTAGCTATTATAGCATTGAGAGATGGCACTATCCTCTTCCACGATGTAGACAGCAATGAGATGGAGAACTCCATTAAGTTAGACTTGGAGTCAGTGTCCCACATGATTCTAGCAGATGATGGCCAAAGACTGGTGGTGACGGGTTCATACTCCAAGAAAGCAATGGTCGTCAATATTAACACTAGTAAGTAAATGTATCAATAGCGAGTGAACAAATGAGTCGAAATGAATATTATATATGAGCCACTCAGATAATGAATGAGTATTGATTATTAGTGAGTGCTAAAACAAGTGAGTAAATGAATGTAAAATTAAGCACTTGGTAACAATAAATTACTTGAAAGTAAAGAATGGTGAGTAAAGGAACAACAGTGAGCCAATGAGAAAAAATGAAAACTTAATAAATAATTAGTGAAATATATACTTGTAATGGCAAGTGAGTATATGAAGCACATGAGAAAAAAATGATTTTATGGTAGTAAATGAATGTCTTATAAATGATGAATCGATGCTGAATGGATGACTTGTTGAGTTAACTAATAACTTTTAAGGTAAATTAATAATCTCAGAGTTGATGAAAAACTAAATTGAATGAATGACTTTATTAGTATAAGCATAACAACAATTTATTGCAGGAGAGGTAGATCATGTCTTGATTAGTCCCAAGAAAGGCTCTGGAGAGGGAGGCAATTCAATCTCCTGTGTAGCAGAACATAATGGTGTATGTGTAATAGGCCAGGGGGGCATGGCATGCTATGGTGTTGTATGGGATATCAACACAGGTATATTGGATGTACAGTACATTTAGTGAGCTTAGCTAATAATAAAATAAGGCTAGAATAATTCTAGCCTTGTGACATATTGTTATGGTCTCTGTTTTTTTTGTGACGGCAGGCTGGTGATCGGCGGTTGGTGATCAGCTGTAACAAATTGTTAAAACTTCCAATAACTTAACAAATACTGTTTAGACTGACTTCAGTTTTTTTTCAAAATCATCTACAAGTTTTCAGAAGTTCAAATCTTACTTTATATTTAAGATTTGACCTTCAGTGACCTTTTCAAGGTCAGAAAAGGTCAAAAAGGTATTTTTTCAACTTGCTTCAAATAAACCAATTTTTTTGAGATTTTACCTTCATTAACCTTCTCCGGGTCAAAAAAGGTCAAAAAGGTATTTTTTCAACTTGCTTCATATATACCAATATTTTTTTCAAAATCATCTAGAAGTTTTCAAAAGTTCAAATGAGATTTTACCTTCATTAACCTTCTCCGGGTCAAAAAAAGGTCAAAAAGGTATTTTTTCAACTTGCTTCACATAGACCAATATTTTTTCAAAATCATCTAGAAGTTTTCAAAAGTTCAAATCCGACTATAGATTTGACCTTCAATGACATTATCAAGGTCAAAAAAATTTCGACCTTCAGTGACCTCCTTAAGGTCAAAAAGGTCCTTTTCAACTTGCTTCAAATTGACCAATTTTTTCGAAAATCATCTACAAGTTCTCAGAAGTTCTAATCTGACTTTAGATTTGTTTCACCTTCAATGACCTTCTCAGGGTCAAAGAAACTTTTTTTCAACTTGCTTCATCAAATGGAACAATTTTTTTTTTAAAGTCCTCTACAAGTTCTCAGAAGTTCAAATCTGACTTAAGATTGAACTCATACACTAGGTGGTGACACTAGGTGGTGACATTTTGTCATGTTTGCCTTGTTTTGATTTTATCAGTATAGTGTACATGTATTGTAATACAATCGGAATGGCTTCATAGGAGTGAGATAGAGTCAGTCATGAACTGCTGATCACTTCAATTTATTTCAATACTTTACATACAAAGTAAAATCAGTTCAGTTCATGTAAAATCAGGATAACAACAAGAGTTTGGTAAATTGAGTGTTTAGGGTTATATCTTCATTTATGTGTTGATAAAAAATTACTTATGAAGTTGGTTGTGTAGTTTGTGTTGTAATTGTTTGTCTGTTTATATTATTCTCCAGGGAGACACATCTCCACAATGGAAGGACTGTATGGGTTTGGCAATGTGACAATCACACAAGATGCAACCAAGGTAGGAACCTGCATCTAAAAATGATGCCAGATCAATACATTCAAACTTCACTATGTTTTACATGAAGTATATTTAAAAAAGGTTTTCTGTGAAATACAATTAACAAGCATCAGTCCAAATAGGTACTTCTTAGCCCTTACTTAAACAAGTGAAAGTTTCACTGTTGATTTTACAGTTACTGAATGCAAGAAATTGACACTGTCACAACTATAATACACTTATTTCTTTTACACATTTCTTTCACATACATCTCCTGAAGTACAAAAATAAATATTTTGACTGATGTAATGTTTTGACCAGACCTTCTAGACAGAATTACATGTACTTCGATTAAGTTAGAATGGTGGGTAAGGGTTGTTGGACACTATTTGGGGTGCTGAGAATGATTAACTTGTGACTGGTTGTATCTTTCTATCTTCATTTCCAATATGTGTTTTGTCATAGCTGTATTTACAGTAGATATATTTTGTATTTATGTTAACAGGTGATCACAACTTTCTTCGAGTTTCCTATGGTGTTTAATGTTTCTACAGGGGAAACAGAGTCAGACATGGATGATACAGACGTCATGATGTCTGGGGCCTCTTGCGTAGTCCTCAGCCCTGGGGATAGATACTGTGCTGTTGGGAGTTCTGATGGTTTGTAACCAAGTTAATACTTACATGTAAATGTTGTAATTTGATAGATACTGTGCTGTTGGGAGTCCTGATGGTTTGTAACCAAGTTAATACTTACATGTAAATGTTGTAATTTGATAGATACTGTGCTGTTGGGAGTACTGATGGTTTGTAACCAAGTTAATACTTACCTGTACATGTAAATGTTGTAATTTGACAGATACTGTGCTGTTGGGAGTCCTGATGGTTTGTAACCAAGTTAATACTTACATGTAAATGTTGTAATTTGATAGATACTGTGCTGTTGGGAGTCCTGATGGTTTGTAACCAAGTTAATACTTACATGTAAATGTTGTAATTTGATTCATTTTATATTTCAATTAATTTTCATAACCACCCCCTCCCTGAAATGTAAAAAATTACATTTGTGAGAGCATGGTTGAATTGATCTTGTCCCCGATACTGTAATTACATGCTAACATATACACAGTTGTACAATGAAATATCAACTCTTTGTTTGATATGCTATTTCAAAACCAATTAAGTATCAATGCAGTATTTCACAAATAGCTGAAGCATTTTACATCAAATCAGAATCAATATATCAATTCTATATTTTACAAATGTATGATTAGATAAAGAAAACTGTGATAAGGAAACACTGACCTTGTATGACTTGATTCAGTATCATAATGATTAGCCAAGTACATGTAGATGCTTATAGAGGAGGTCAAAATGTTGTGACACCCTTGGTTAAATTTCAATTCTGCCATCTTTTATAGACAACATTGTTCAAATATTTTTGCCTAGCTTGAAAATAATTTAAAACATGACAGAATTGTGAGTAATTAATAAACCAGCTTCTTGTATGCTAGCCTTATACCCCCCCCCCAGCCTCGGTAAAACATTGCAAGGTGGATGTCCTGAAATCTGTTTTCATTCACAAAGAAAGTCTATAGAATTGCCCACTCATTCGTTTGTTATCCCACCGAACGAAGTTCGTGAGGGATATAGGAAAGCCGTCCGTCCGTCCGTCCGTCCGTCCGTCTGTCCGTCCGTTCGTCCGTCTGTCCATCCGTCCGTCTGTCTGTTTGTCCGGGCGATAACTCAAATACCGTTTCACGGATTTGATTCAAATTTTATAGGCTTATGCCTTATGGGTGTAGGACCTCTGCTCGAGAAGGAATTTTCAATATGGCCACTGAATTCAAAATGGCCGCCATTTTTCGTAAAAAATGTAATCTTTAATAACTCAAATACTAGTTTGCGGATTTGGTTCAAATTTTATATGCTGATGCCTAGGGACACAGTAGATATGTTAGAGGAAAAATTTTCAAGATGGCGGCTAGATTTTAAAATGGCGGCCATTTTTCGTAAAAAAACTTAATCTTTGATAACTCAAATACCAGTGAACGGATTTGGTTCAAATTGTATATGATGATGCCAAGGGACACAGTAGATCTGTTCGACTTACAATTTTCAAGATGGCCACTGAATTTCAAAATGGCGGCCATTTTTCATAAAAAACGTAATCTCTGGTAACTCAAATACCAGTGAACGGATTTGGTTCAAATTTTATATGATGATGCCTAGGGACAAAGGAGCTTCACTCAAGATGGGATTTTCAAGATGGCCACTGATTGTCAAAATGGCGGCCATTTTTCATAAAAAAACATAATCTTTGATAACTCAAATACCAGTTAACGGATTTGGCTCAAATTTTATATGATAATGCCTAGGGACACAATAGATCTGTTCAAGAAAGAATTTTCAAGATGGCGGCTTGATATTCAAAATGGCGGCCATTTTTCGTAAAAAAGGTAATCTTTGATAACTCAAATACCAGTGAACGGATTTGGCTCAAATTTTATATGATGATGCCTAGGGACAAAGGAGATCTGTTCGAGAAAGAATTTTCAAGATGGCGGCTGAATTTCAAAATGGACACCATTTTTCGTAAAAAACGTAATCTTTGATAACTCAAATACCAGTGAACAGATTTGGCTCATTTTTTATATGATGATTCTTAGGGACACAGTAGATCTGTTTGAGAAAATTTTTTCAAGATGGCGGCTGAATTTCAAAATGGTAGCCATTTTTCATAAGAAAAAACGTCAAATACCAGTGAACAGATTTGGTTCAAATTTTACATGCTGATGCCTAGAAACATAGTAGCTCTGTTCGAGAAAAAATTTTTAAGATGGCAGCTGATCTTCAGAATTGGTGCCATTTTTCATTTTCATTTTCGTAATCTTTGGTAACTCAACTGCCGTTCGGTGGGATTAGCTACTCCGTGGAGTTGCTGTTTTTTTAATTCTTTATTCTGTTTGCAACTGCCTTTTATCTGAATTAATGATCATATCTATTCTATAGGGGTTCATTTATTGCCATTTAATTAGAAATTTCAAACCATGATGTTGTTTGCTGTTACAGGATCAGTGCGAGTGATGGACATAGCCACACGCAAGTACAAGTTTAAAATGCAGCACAAATCCTCAGTGAAAGTATGCGAATTCACAAATGATAACCAGGCTCTTGTAACAGCTGCATTCTGCCATCTATTGGTCTGGAATCTAAATAATGGCCAACTCATGCGTATGCTAACATGTCACACAGCATTCATTAATGACATGATCTCAACTCTTGGTGGCCGTTGCCTCGTAACATCAGGCGAGGATCATCGAATTGTCATCTGGAACAAGAAAGAACAGAAATCCATCACTATATTTGAAGGACAAAGTAGGATAGATCTGATTGCCGTGAGCAAGGATATGTCATATATTGCCTTTGTGCCAAATAATATCAGTCACATGTGCCTGCTGAAGCCTAATAAGGCGTTGGGAGAGGCCATGGGGGGTCAGCATGAATATAAGGTACCAAAGAGTTTGATACAAGCCCAAGCATATGCCATGGCTTTCTCAGGCTTGAGAGTGCAAAAGAAAACAAGCCAGGCGTGTTGTATTATTTAGGACTGTGTGCAACAAAAGTATTCTAGATGTTCTGTTCTCTTTTAAGCCTTGCCTAACAGGCATTTAATCCTCATTGCTTTCAGAAAAAAATATATATATAATAGTGAATTCTGCTGGTGCTGCCATCTTTATATCAGCCCAAAACCTTTTGTGTCCTCAAAACTGACGCAAATAATGACAAGCAAAATTTTACTTATAACAAATTAATATTCCTATTATGGGATCAAGGGACATAACCATGTAACCCATAGCTAGTTCTCTTTCATTTTAGTTATGTAAGAAGCAGATATTTTATCTGAAATTGTGATTCCTGATCACCTTACTCAAACCCAGGCTTTGCAGTAGATGTATCTATTTACCCGATTATCCAGTGACTCGATATACGGATAATAAGGTCCAAATAATTAAATACTTGTGAATAGGTGATACTATGCCTACATTCCCAGGATGATTGGCTCATTATATGGGAAGCAAGGCAACATGATTAACATTGCATTGTAAATTAAATCCTCCATCTGAATGGAATGACAATGCCATTGTATTAGGGTCAGTTGAAGAGTAATCTACTTACATAGGCCAAAATAACTAACTCTCATTAACTCATGGTAACCGCAGGAAAAATACATCAGTTGCTGTGACATGAAATATTCTTAATTTTTGCCCAAACGATAGTGCTTTCAAAATTTGGCTCATGTATCTCTAAGTATATGACAGTATGAATAGCTCAGTGAGGTTTGTGATCTCCTACAGCATATTAAAGAAATTATTTCTCTGTAAAATTAATATATATTTAACATCTCTTCATAGCACGACAATTGGGACATTAAACATATAATTAAATTTAAATGGCTTAAAGAGTCATGTCGCTACAAACATGAATGCTCAATCACTATGCATATGACTATATATAACTTTGAAATATCATTGATAGTCTCATCTTTAATGAGGGTTTAAGAGATTTTCATTTTGAAACCATTATTCAGGATTTAAAAGTTTGAGACATTTGAATTCTGTGCACTTTTTTACAAGAACATGCTCAGTTCTGGATTTACACTGTTATTATAGACTCCAGATGATAATCTGGAGTCTATTGTTTTTGCCTCTTTTCTTTCTTTCTTATTATTTACTGAGCAAGTTTTCTCAACAACCATAAATTATTCAATTTTAGACAACCATATGGTCAATTAAGGTACATCATCTAGTTGGTGGGAAATTGGGTCAATTTTTGATCTAGGTCAAAGGTCAAAATCTAGGTCAAATCTTATATTTTCAACATTTTGTCAATTATCTTTGTCAATTTTCAATATATTTCTTGATCTTTTTTTTTAAATGAAGCCAAGAAAAAGACAATTCGACAGTGTGCCATCTGTTTCTCGATTATTCTTACCACTTTTGAGATATTTGACGTGAAAAATGGTAAAATATGTCATTTTAAACTTGCTTCAATTAGACCGAATATTTTTTTAAAAAATCATTTACAAAGTCTTAGGATTCTAAATCTGAAATCAGAATCAAAATCCAACTTCCGGTTAAAATTCTACGCCATTTTGAAAATGTCGAAAATCGATTTGATGGAATTCACATAGAAGGTCAAGAGAAGTGACAAAAATATTGCTAAATCTATCCGTCTAACTAACTGTCTATTTATCTATCTATAAACTAGAAGCAAATCTAACATCTGGAGTCTAAAATTGAACTTGTTCAATTTCCAATTTCTTGTTTTATTATATGATTTACAGGAACCATATGGGAAATATTTTATTAAATAAAACATGAAGTGACTTTTGTCAGTTTCCTTCATATTATGTAATGGTATTCTAGCTTTACCAAAACTACTAGTATAGTGCCATCTTTGTACTAGTTTATATAAATATTTTATATTTATTTATTACTTGTATTTAAAAGTGCTATGTATATTAAAAAATTGTTTATTTTTATACATAAAAAATATTCATACACATCTCCTGTAAAAAGTGCCAAATAAATTGTTTAAATAATTTAAACCTTAAATTTTAAGTTTGTTTTAAACAATATTTTCAGACAAAGGTGACGATATATTGTTATAGTCGCCAACTTTTTTTATTGATGGTGTTTGCTGTTTGGCATTCGGCATCTGTAACAAATGGCAGGTGGTGACATTTTTCATGTTAATGCCTTCTTTGAATTGTGAGGTAGCTGAAAAATATTTTAAGGGGACCAAGCAGAGAACTTGGCATTGTTTCCAAAATTCAGAGCTCATAAAGGACTCTCATTCAGGACATTCACTTAAATGTAGAATCCATGTGTGTTGCCACTTATGGGGTGTAAGACCATAATGCCATATCAGAATTGTGATAATATTCATCAATGAGCCTTGACAGCACCGAAAGAATATTGGAATTTAATTACATATCAGTGAATAATTACTGAAATTACATAATTTTTCATAATCAAGTATCTATTTCCAACGTCTAACAGACTCAGCAAATGGTTGATGAATGAAATGACTATGAGATAGTACGTGTTTACATTTTACGACTTTTTGATGAGATCTATGGGACATTTTTCATTAAAAACTTTAGGTTTCACATGGAATTTCATGACGATTTGAAATTGTTGAGAATGCATCTAAAATAAGACTAATGTGTCATGTTTTGATACAATTGTCAATAAAAGAAATATATATAAAACACACAGTATCATGATATTCATTCACTTAGCAATTTATATCTGGAGGCTCTTATGTTGTTGTTTGATGTTATATATCTATCTATATTTTTATCATGATCCTTCCTTGTTGCATGGACATCAGGTGTATTTACAAGAAACCAGATGGTCTGCCAGAGGCAGTCAGGAGCAGGTATTTAATAAAACAACATCTTCCTGATTGTGCACTTGCAAAACAGCCTAGCTATGTTACTATGACAATTGCAAAAATCATTTCAGACAACTTTTTGCATTTGGGTTTTTGAAATCGTGGAGCACAAATATGACATGTAATATCTGAATGGTATCTGCTATTAAAAAATACCTGTATTTGCAGTTTTGCACACAAGTTGAGAATAAAATGATCTGTCATTTCTACATTGGATTTTCATATAACAGGCATACCTTTTGCTAAGGGTAAGGTTGCGTGAACTTATTGTCACCTTTTAAGGTATGATAGTGCCTGTATAATTAAATAGATATTTAGAAAAGCATTAAATTTGGAGTATGGTTTATATGATAACTTTATTATATACGCTTTTATGAAACCATTCATCATCACCTTTTCTTCCTAGGTTTTCTTTTCCCAGGAAGATGTCCATTATCCTCGTTACTGTCTAAATTTTGTTCGTGCAGCCACTCCCTTTGTAAACGTTCTAACACTTTCTCTGAGATAAGGCCCTGTTGAACCAAATAGTCACTCAATTTGCCCTTTTTCACTGGAACTTTCCTACTTAGTTTTGCTCTCTGATAAGCACCTGACAGTGTTTGTGGATGAGATGGAATTACCTCAACTTCACGGTCTTCCAAACGATTCCTCGAATGGACTTGTTGTCTTTTCTTTATTTCAAAATCATCTTCATCATCTGGTGCTCCCGAGGACACTTTTGTTTCACTTGCCTTAAGGAGTCGTGTTATGTTATAGACACCATTTTGAATTATCTCATCTAATTCACTCTGCATCTCTCTGACCTGCTCAGCGTGAGGAAAATGGTCCATGAAGCGATAACTGGAACAGAATGTTTGAAGGTATTAAATGCAGTAATTTTAATATCTCATTTTATATGTGAATTTTGTTTTCAAATTTTGCACATATTTCAATGTTTGATTCCTCTCATGAAAAGTTTCAAACATATTTTCAACCTTCTGGAAATTGTGCTTGCTTACGCCAAGTACCATGAGATAAAGCTGGGTGACATACCTTAGCCACAAATAGAGATCTAGTACATCGAAGACGCCCTCCAAGTGGACAAGGTCTGCAATGGTCCCCGGGGAAGTGAGGGGCCAGCTCAAGATTCGTGCCAGCCAATCCACAGTGAGAGGCTCCCCTGAGCTGTATCTTCTAGCAAACTGCAAAGCATAGTGTAAATGCAGGTAAAGACTAAAGATGTTAAGTTGGAATCCCAAAAATTGACTTCTATTGAAAGCCTGTACTTGGATGCAAGTTGCCATGGTCTGGAAGTCTGGGAATTCTAGTATAGTCTAGAATTTCCTAAAAAATGGATAAAATGGTATGGGAATATTAGAATTCTCACAAAGGTCAGGGAAAGTCAAGAAATCCTTAGTGGGTGAAATTTGTATAACTGCAAACACAATGCAACTGATTTTAATATCTCATTTAATATGTGAATTTTGTTTTCAAATTCAAAAATGAAACATTAAATGAAAGCTACTTAAATGATATACCTGTAGACAGTGAACATCTAAAGTTTGTCCATAAAAACAACAAATTTGTTCAGGCTCTTACTTGAATCATGGAAAAGTCAAGAATTTTGATTTAAAATGTTGTTGTAACTACATGTAGTGGCGCAACTCAAATGTCAGTGCTCGCCACTCACTTGTCGAACCTGTCCAAGATAATTTATCAAGCATGATTTTTCAAACTCGAATATGCATGTTTTATTATTTCTGAGAATGATCATTTTGTATGCACTGAATGAAATAAAGTATCGATTCCGGAAGCAAAATGAAAAAATTTGAAAACAAGCAAACACAATTATGGTATAAATGATTATATAGAACATCAATAGTCACTAGTAGAGTCACTAAAATAGTATTCATTTGGTATTCAAACAGTCTTCAGGGTGGATTTTGAATTTTTTATGATTTTCCCTCATTCTTGCAAGTGACACTCTATCACAGTAGCATTTATATACAATTTCTACTCGATTGGCATTTTTCTGGGGAGTTGCACCACTAGTGGTAACCCTGTATAAGGGCTGTGCTTTATAGATAAATGACATGTACTAGTATATGTCAGACTAATGTGCCATGATGAGAAATTGCATTCATACATACTGTACATGCAATGATTCACACAAACATCCTTGCTGCAATACTACTACATATCAACAAAGTAGCACAGTAATGCCTGTGGGGCTTGAGGGAAACACGCAAGTATTGAATTTGATGCTTAAAAGCCCCAAAAGTATGAATTCTTATTGAAACCTGGGACAAAATCAGTACTGAATCACTTGGCCTCAGTAATGTTAGTTATAGGAAATAAAATACATGTAACTCTACAATCAGCATGAACAAAAACCAGTATAATAGTCTTATACATTTTAATCAAAAGTTCAAGATTATGAAACCTAAGATAGAGTAACTGATGCTATGATGATGTGATTTAGATAACCTTATACAGATATATAATATCAAATTTTGAGAAGAGGCGAGTGTTAATTTAATTAGTTCAAGATTATGAAACCTTATACATATATATTCTGAAATTTTGAGAAGAGGCGAGTGTTAATCACTAGTGCTAATATCTTTAATAACAGTTTTCTATCGAAAACAGAAATTGATTTAGTTGGATTGCAATGTGTTAATTATTCCAATTATCTTCCCTACGTATATTCCTTCTTATTGGTATGTCAATAGCCTTTAGGATATTACCTTTAGAAACATAGTGCAGACGAATGGTTGCTTTTTTGGAATTGGAGCACAACAAAAGATGTAGCGTGTCCTAAGACCAAGGGGAACATGCTCAATCATGTCTGCCAGGAACTTGAAGTCATCCACATTGCACATGAAATAGTATTGGTTGTCAAGCTCACATATAGTAACAAAGATATCCTGCAAGAGACAATATTTTATGAGCATGATATTTCCTCAATTGACGAGATGCATGTAGAAATAAATATTGTTTTAATCATTAAATATTCCAACATTTTTGAAAATGTGATATCTTGATCAGTTGATTGCCCATGTGTTATAAAATCAGTTATGTAATGTTGCCTTGGAGAGAAAATGACCAAATACTCACTATTAAGACAACCAATGTTGTTTTGGAGAGGTGGTAGACAAAAACTTACTATTAAGTTAGACAATGTTGCCTTGGGGAGGTGGTAGGCGAATAATTCAATCTGCTCAGCCGTAGGATGTAAACCAGCTTGCTGAAATAATACAAATCATAATATTCATGCAAGACTGTTCTCTAGTTACTTGGTGGCCTATATAATATAATGTATTATCCTACACTTAGTGTACTAAATGTATAATAACATTAAAAAATAAATTTGATATTTATTGGCAAAATGAATAACCAGAGGATATCGTTACGATATACTCTGAGCGGATGATATCGTGATGATATACTCCAGAAATTCCAATATGCAAAGGATATTGTGACGATATACTCCGCTTGATTTCCCGCCAAAATGACTCTATTTGGCATGAAATTCATTTTGCAATGATATTATACATTTAGTACACTCCTTGTACATGTAAGTGTAGGATAATAAGAACATCCTATGATTTTTTGCAGAATATCATTTTAATCTACTCGGTGATATTGATATATGCACTCGTTCGCTTTGCTCTCTCGTGCAGATCACTATCAAAAATGATCAATATCAATATCACCTCGTAGATAAAAATGATATTCCTCAAAATCATAGGATATCCTAGAATTATTACCACCTTGCCGGGCCAGTTCTAGGGGTTTTAGTACTAGTTTAGAAGGCATTCATTTTACTATATCGACCTGAGCAATATGTGACGTCATAGTGGTGGTCAAGAATGCATTTAACGACTGGTCGAGAATGCATTTAATGACTGGCAATTTTCCCCAGGAAATTAGATATCGTTCAGTGCGTACAATTTTCTTGCTGTTTCAGTCCTGGTCATTAACGGTGGTAATAATACTAATAACGTCAATTCTGTGGGCAATATAGTGAACTATTGGACCTTGGGCCTTCGGCCGGAGCCATAAATTGTTTTTGAGAAAGTATAATCAGAGGTATTACATTATTCTCAGGCAGTTACAGATGCTAATGATGATGCCAAGCACTGAACACCTGTCACAGAAATGCCCCAAACAGCTATGTTCTGGTGTATCAAGATAGAAAATTGGCAAAATTATTTGTTGACCTCTTTGTCAAAATGGTCTTATTTGTTAGACTTTCTTTGCAAATGGTCTTATTTGTTGGACCTCTTTGTCAAAATGGTCTTATTTGTTAGACTTTCTTTGCAAATGGTCTTATTTGTTAGACCTCTTTGTCAAAATGGTCTTATTTGTTAGACTTTCTTTGCAAATGGTCTTATTTGTTGGACCTCTTTCTCCCTCAAAGCTCTTTACAGATATTGGTACTGTGACATGTACATGTACTTGCCATTTATATTTTAATTTTATTAACAAAATTACTTTTGCACTCTTTTTTGTCAAAATGATACTCGACTTAACCCTTCATAACCTAGTTGAAGAGACAATTACCTCAATAGGAGTTATCTCTTGATTGACAATCTGTCTTAATAGTGACAAATCCTCCCTCTTGAAAGTTGTCACCTCACCATTTGGATACTGAGTCCCATAGCGACCTGCGCGTCCAGAAATCTGCAGGGCAGTTGATGTGTCCAGTACATCCATTTCCTTCTCACCTTTCTCATTAAGAGTTGGCTTGATAAGTGAATAAAATACAATCCTTCGAATATTTCTGAAACAAAGTTATATTTCTTTCACAAATGGTATTATTCAAGCTATTTGCCATTGATCAAACAAGGCATTAACATGCAAAATGTCACCACCTGCCATTTGTTACAGATGCTGACTGCAGAATGCCAACTGCCAAACACCATCCATAAAAAAAGTTGGGAGAAAAATTGGATAACAATATGTCACCACTCCTTGTGGCGACATAAAAATATTGGCACTGATGTAAAGACTAATAAATATTATTGGATCAGGATGGAGGTTATCTTGCACCCAACTTTTCAGCCAAGTATCAAATGAATACAGTAAGTTAAATTATGTGATAAGCTGCTTTCTCTGACCTGATGTAATTCTTTCAAAGTATATTGTTCAGTGCTACAAACTCTCCAGAGTACTGTGATGACTTGTGCCATTTTTATTCAGGTAAAACATCTGACTTACAAGTTCAGTCCCATTCCTATTGCATCTGTGGCTACGAGTATCTTGCATGGATGGTTAGGATCATTGAACTTTTCTGCCTGAGCAACCTTTGTACCTGGTGAAAGATCAAGTGTGAACAAATATGGAAATATACATAAAAGAAAAAAATATATCTATATACAGGGTGGTCCAAAAAAAGTGAACCCCTGCAACTGGCCATATTTCCCTTATTACTTGCAGGAATTCTTTTTTATTTTCACATGTTGTAGAGGAAGGTCTAAAATTTATGTTGGTACCATACATTTTTCTTAGTCTTGAAATTTGCAGAAATTATAAGCCCTAACCAAACATTACTGAAAATGGACAAATTGTGATTTTCAATATCCGCGATTCTTCAACCCTTCAACACCTTCCTGCACATTATGGCTTAAAACTAGCATCCTACATTTGTTAGTTGCAAAGTTATTGTGATCCAAAGAGATGTGCTAAGCTTCCACAGACGAAAACATTTTCAAGTAAAATCATGAACATACCCCTATATGATCTTGAAATGTCAATATCTTCATAAATCATGGACCAATTCTAATGATGTATGGCTCAAAACATTGAATATTAGATTTTCTTTCGATTTTTTTAAGATATTTGATGAAAGGGTTATCAGATTCCTGGTCACAGGGGGCAACTTCCCTCCATAAGAGGCCCCCCTCTAACTGTTGGTGTAGGTAACATACCCTTTACTGTTGAACAGTTAAAAATACTTCAAAATGATCAATGAAATGTGTTTTCTGCTTGAATAGTGTCTCTTTTGTCATATGCTAGGGTTTTAAAGTTGTATCTCTAACTGAAAGCTGTTTAAGATCATCCAATGTGTTTCAACAATTTCCGTGAATCACATTTGTAAAATTTTGTACAATATCTAATTTCCAGGCATCTTTGTTAAACGCTTGTAATTTCTTCAAACTTTAAGACTGAGAATAAATTATGGCATCAACCAAAATTTTAGACCTTTCTCTACAACATGTGATAATATGAGCCAATTCATGCATGTATTAAGAAAAATATAGCCTGTTGCAGGGGTTCACTTTTTTTTGGACCACCCTGTACACATGTATAGTACAGTTGCATTGTATGTTTTACTATGTAAATATAAAACATATATCAATGAAAATTAAGAGGAATAACTATATCCATTTTCCTGGATTTGATATAATTCTTTTAAACTTTGTTTTGGTATACTGCAAATTATAGTTTAAAACAACATTCCATTATATATCTGTACTTCCGGTTAATTTCGCGAATTTTGAGAAAACACGATTTTTTCAATTGAAAGAAAATTTATTGTTTTAATAAAAAACACTGTATTTATGCCATGAAAGTACTCATGGTGAAAGATTTTTTTTTTTTTATTATTATTTTCAAAATCAAAACATATTTACATATACATTTAATCAAGAATACAAAAGTTAAGTAAGGTGTGATAATATAAAATATAAGGCTACAGTAAGTACATAAACCTGCAGTAATCTCACATCTAATCTATAAGATGTAAAAAAGAATAAAATACACCTATAAAGACATGAAAAAGAAACACAGCAAGTACATGTCTATAAAGATGTGAAAAAAGTATATCTACATATATTTATTTATTTATTTATTTATTCAGTAAGCTAAGTTTTGAAATACATACAATGAGCGGGTGACACAAATTGTGTATATTCCCGACAGGGTGGTAAGTTGCCTACATAGAAACAGAGGGGGATCTGTTTGTGTGCAAATGCTTGTAATGGATGGTAAATGAATTGTGTGTCATAGAGCCCAAAATATAAAGTATACGAATGATAATCAATTATTGACAAAGTACTTTTTCAGTTCTCTTTTCATGATGTGAACACTTCGAGAAGATTTAATCTTGTTTGGTAATTGATTCCAAATTGTTGGTGCCGTGAAAGTTAACATTGAAATGCCATAGTTCGTCCTTACTTTAGGTTTATCATAAGAATCCTTGTTTCTGGTATTGTGATCATGTCTCGCCTGGACCATTTTGAAAAAGTTAGGAAAAATTTTCTGGTAGTTATCAAGCTTATTTATCCATTTATACATGAATAAACATTTCTGTTGTTTGTGTATGTCAAAAATATTCAAAAGGTTTAACTGTTTGAATAATGGTAGGGAATGAGCCCTATAATCGCTGTTTGTTGCAATGCGGGTGAATTTCTTTTGCACAAGATATAGGGAATTTAATGAACTACATGTTTCACCCCAAATAACATTGCCATATATAAGATGGGAATATATAAGTGAATAATAGATACTCATAAAACCGCTGATATTCAACAGTTGTTTAACTCTATATAAAATACCAATTGTCCTAGAAATTTTTGCATTAACAGAAGCAATATGCCGTTTCCAGTTCAAATGGTTATCTATTGTTATTCCAAGAAAGTTAATATGATCAACTTGTTCAAGTTGTTTGTCATTTAGATAGATTTTTATATTATTTGCATTAAATCTTTTTTGTCTTGAGGAAAAAATGATATATTTTGTTTTATTAGCATTGAGTGATAATTTGTTTGTGACCAGCCATTCCTCAATATGTTTGAGTTCAGTGTTTAAAGTTTCTGTCAGGTCATGTAGATTTTTGCCTTTGATCAATAAATTAGTATCATCTGCAAATAAGACGAAAAATAGTGTCGGAGAAGAAAGATAAATATCATTAATATATAATATAAAAAACAGGGGTCCCAAAATTGAGCCTTGAGGAATACCGCAAGTGATCAACTCACGATTAGAGATTGTTTCCTTATATAAAGTTTGCTGAAATCTATTTTTTAAATAACTTTTTATCCAGTCAAGAGCAACACCACGTATTCCATAATATTGAAGTTTGTCAAATAGTATGTTATGATCTATTGTATCGAAAGCTTTGGAAAAGTCAATGAATAATCCTATTGTAAATTCGCCATCATCGATAGATTTTCTGATCTTTTCAATAAATGTTAACACACCCATGAAAGTTGATCTCTTTTCCCTAAATCCAAATTGATTAGTATACAAAATGTCAATGATATCTATAAACTTTGTTATTCTTTTATGCATTATTTTTTCCAAAATTTTTGAAAAAACAGGTAAAACAGATATTGGCCGATAATTGGTGAAAAAATGTTTGTCATCTTTTTTATAAATCGGTATAACTTTAGCAATTTTAAGTTGGTCCGGAAAAACTCCGTTTGAAATGGATAAATTAAAAATATGCATTAGAGGCTGATATAGAACAAAACCGCATTCTTTCATAATAAAAGGTTTAAAATCATCATGACCTGCAGCAGAAGGTTTTAAATTAGAAATTATTTTTTGTAGTTCGTTAACATCAACTGGGTCTAAAAAAATTGAAGAAGCCTGTTGACCTAATGTTTGCATAAAATCTAAAGGTTTTTTATCTGACTTTGGAATTTTGGCAGCTAATTTTTCTCCAACTTTTACAAAGAAATTATTAAACTGATTAGCTATATCCTGTTTGTTGGTTATTTTCACATTATTTTGAATGAAGAAGTCTGGAATGTTATTATTTTTATTCTTTCTTTGAAGTATCTCATTAATTATTTGCCAATTTGCCTTTATGTTGCCTTGATTCAGTTTAAATTTGTTATTATAATATTGCTTTTCAGATAATTTAATTGTACTTTTTAGTTGATTTGCATAAGTTTTATATTGTTTTTTATTTTGATCTGTGGGATTTCGAAGATATTTCTTGTATAGTTTGCTTTTATATCTAATTGACTTAAGTATGGCTGACGTAATCCATGGCTTTTGATTATTATTGTATAGTTTAATTGTGATCTGTTTTAATGGGAAACATTCGTCATAAAATTCTGATAGTTTTTCCTCAAATTTATTATAAGATTCATTAGCATCATTAAAATTTGTAATGTCGATCCAAGATTCGTTAGAGAGAATTTCTTTAAATCTTAAAATGCTTTCATCAGTATATTTTCTAATAGACCTTTTCATGAATGTGGTTTTGTTAACAGGTTTATTGGAAACAGCAAATATTGGGAAATGATCTGAAATGTCATTGTATATAATTCCGCATAAGTCAACTTTAGAATCGTTAGTAAAGATGTTATCTATGAGAGTGGCTGTAGTAGAAGTTACTCTAGTTGCTTTATATATTACAGGAATAAGGTTATATGAAGACATAATGTTGCAAAAGTTTTCAGTATTTTCATGTTCCACAGATTTAAAAAGATCAATGTTAAAATCTCCAGCAATGTAGCTTAATTTGTTATTTTCTCTTGAAATTAAAGATAGGTATACATCTAAGTCATTGTTAAATTCCTCTAGATCAACATTTGGTGGCTTATATACACAGGTTATTAAAATATTCTTCCCCTTTTCAACAATTACCTCTATGGTTATGACATCACAATTGATATTGTTAAATTTTAAATCAGTTCTTTCCTTGATATTAAGAGATTTATGAATAAGGAGACCAACACCGCCTCCTCTAGTTGTTCTTGAGTTGAAAAATCCTCGGTAATTTACAAAATCAGAAAAGTTGTCTTCTTGATCTTTATACAGCCAAGTTTCAGAGAGAGCAATGACAGAAATATTTTTATCAATTGACGCAAGTAGATTAGACAGTTTCCAATGATTAGATGGCAAACTACGAATATTGCAATGTAAAATTGACATATCGATGTTATTCTTGGAATTGAGATTATTATTGAAGTCAGAAAGTGTCACATATTCATTCTTTGCCATGTATTCCTTGGTTGTGTTATCAAAATCTGGGGCGTCAGGATCATCATCTCTGATTTCAAGAGGATTGAAAACTTTGTTTTCAAAACTAATAATTGAGTCTCCATTTGGCACAATATCAATAAATTCGGTAGAGTCTGTAATATTAAAAAAAGGAAATTCAGACCATGGGCATGACACATGTGCACTTAGATTATCCAGTATCCAAAAGTAGAAGCATTACACACACAAACAGATCCCCCTTATAAATGTTACGAGATTTGAAAAAAGAAAATCTCAATATGAATTGAGACATGATGTTCTGTAAGCACAGAACTAGGCTAGGCGAAATGAGCAAGTACATATTTGTGGCTCTGTTGAATGGCATATAAACATAACAGTGAATGTAAGAACCAAAGCAAAAAAAAATACAAATTAACAGCTTTAAGAACATGTTGCGCATGTGCACTATATACCTGGCAGGTATTGATTAAGTGATAAAGTAAAACATGAAGTAATTATAGCAATCTCCCTGCCTCCGTGATCCATACTCCAAAGCATCTCAAAATGAGATCTCATTGTGGGATGACCAAAGCGGTTACAGCATAAACTGCACATGCGCTAAAAATACGAAAGGTGTTGTTAAATTCGTAGATGCATTAAAACATTATATATATAAAAGAATAAAGAAAAATGTATCGAATTCCCTGGCTCAATGATCTTGATTCCAGGACAACATTCTCATCATGGTATTGAATGAATACGTAAGTTTACATAAAGATGGCAGTGTTACACCAACATAAATTCATACAGACATACAGTCTCCTGCACATCCAAAGAGAAATATATCTGCTTCAATAAACTACCCAACTGGAAATCATTGATACATACAATATGTATATTTCGGAGGATTAATTTAAAGAGCAATGAACATTGACTATGAAGGTGGCAAAAGAATACCAGAGAGCCTTTTCAATGAAAGACACATGTAAAAAATAAGCCAGGATTTAAACGTTTAGGCAAATTGGTTTCCAGGTTTGGTTTGTGAATTGCCATATATATAGTCATAATATACAGTCGAATGCACATTGGTAAATTTTAACTCAGGAATGAATTGACCATGGGGGATTTAAAATAGCTTGGTTTCCAGGTTTGGTTTGCCAAATATGCAGTCAAATGCACATTGCAGAATTTAATCTCGGTAATGAATTGACCATGGGGGATTTAAAATAGCTTGACTGTGAAGGATATAATACCATAAATATTTACATTGGCTAATTGCCAGATTCATAAATCGAGTGGGTGATCTAAGAAAAACATTAAACTCACCAACTTGATTCTTATTACAATACTAAGTACCAGATTATACTATACTATACTATGATCTACATCTACTATGTTAATATAACAAGTCAAAATTATTAATGCAGTCCTCTAAAAGGTGCAGCACTTCATTATTTTTCTTCTTCATATGTCTCATATTTTCAACATACTTGGATAAATATAGAAAGGCTTGATTGTTAAAATTTACATCCTTAAGTCCTTCATAATCCTCTGAGTGTTTACTCCAATTTACATAAATGCTATAGCTGACCACCGTTGTGACAATATTTCTAAATTCTTGAATATTTCCTTCATTCATATAAAACCCTAATATTATATTTTTCCATTGAATACTACATTTTAGAATCTTCCCAACATTGACCCAAAGATTTCCTACTAATCGACACTCAAATATCATATGCTTGATGTCATGAGTTTCATTGCAATATAAACACAGTTTCGAAATGTTATTATTCCACTTACTCACAAGTTTACCACATGCCAATATGTTATGAATCAATTTATAGTTAAATTCAGCATATTTTTTGTCAACAATGTTTATAAATTTTGACATATAAATAGATCTATAAAACTGTGTTGTATTTGGTGTCTTAAACAATGAACTCCAATAAATTTCCATTACTGTGCTTTCAGCTTTTTCTTTTAAAAGTATATTATACAATGACTTTGTGCTGATATCATTTATTTTTGTCCATGAGCCATTTTTTAGAAGAATTTGGTTATGGTATCTAATGTTTGTGTACTTTGCTAACTCCCCATCATGTTCTTTTAATAATTTTACAATAAAACATTTTATTCGGATATATTCAGTCATCCAATTCCTTTTATCAATTAATTTATTTAAAACTGTTTTTTCATCTATCACGTTACCATTGATATCAATAAAATCTTTTAAATAAACAAAACCGCTTTTGATCCAGTGTTTGCAATAGAGGACACTTTTCTTGTTCTGAAACCTTTCATTTAACCATAATAATTCAGAAAATATCCTATTTTTATCTCTGTCTATCAATTTACATCTGTTGAATGAAATAAAGATATTTTGGTAAAAAGTTGGCATTTGTATTTTAACAATATTTAGAAATCTTGTTTTCAGGAAAGTGCTAAGGCTAAAACCACATTTTTTAATGTAAAATATTGGGATAAGTCGCCAAGCACTATTTTCTCCAATTAAACGCTTTACCCACATACCTTTAATTGCTGAAATTTTGGTTTGCAGATCAGTTAAGCCTAACCCTCCATTTTCAAGCTTTCCAATTATAACATTTCTCTTTATCATATCTTTTTTCCATATGAATTTATATATCATACTGTTTAGTTGATTTATAATAGTTTCAGGTACATCTAGGATAGAGATCGAAAATATCAGTTTTGAGATAGCTAATGAATTTATAATCTGTACTTTTCCAAAGAGTGATAGTTTTCTAGATTTCCACGATTCAAATAGTTTTTCAAATTCTAGAATTTTAGGATTCCAGTTATATTTCTGACACTTTTCATAATCATTTCCCACATATATACCTAGTATTTTTATTGGTTCATCTGGAAACTCTATGTTTTTATATATTTTTTCACGATTCTGATATGTTCCGAGCCAAATTCCCTTTGTTTTTTCTAAATTTAGTTCTAAACCACTCAGTTTGGAAAATTTCTGTATTTCTGCAAGCATACTTTTTACTGATTCCCTATTTTTTAGAATTATAGAAGTGTCGTCTGCATGCTGAACTATTTTTATTTCATTATCATTGATACTTATTCCATTTATTTCATCATTATATTTTATATTTTTGGCCATTATCTCTGTACAAAGTATAAAAAGTAGCGCTGATAGGGGGCAGTCCTGTCTAATACCTCTGCCAAGTTTAACTTCTCTCGAAAAGAAACCATTGTTCTTTATTTTCAAAATTGGATGATTATAAAAGATTTTAACCCATTTTATAAATCCTTTTCCAAAATTCATGTTTTCTAATACTGAGTACATAAAAGACCAATTCAAACTATCAAAAGCCTTTTTAAAGTCTAAGCTAATTAAGATACCATCAATGTTTTCAGTCTTTGCATAATCAATAAGATCTATTAACAATCTTGCATTTGTGGATATTGTACGATTTTCTAGATATGATGTCTGATTTATATCAACCAATTTTTTAACATAGGGTTTAATTTTATTTGCAAGGGTTAATGCTCATGGTGAAAGATATGACCGTCTAAAATCACTTGCCATACTGCACTATGGACCTTAGAGCAATTTACAGTATATCAACTAAACTTAGCACTATATTCATCCTGAAGTAGCAAAGTTTTATTTGATAAGCCTGCATGCCAATAAGAGGTCAACATAGTCTTTTCGTTGCTTAAAATTTCTCTACTTATTTACACAATTTTCTCTCAAAATATGAATGATGGGCAGAATATCATGGGATTTTTTATAATTTGAAACATTCATCACATTCCAGTATATCTTCTCTCTTCCTCATTCAATTTTTTTAATTAATTTTGCATTAAAAAATTTTACTCTTTATAATTTTCTCACTGGGACAAATATACAGACATACATGTAGACCTTATACGTGTAATACACATGCATGAAAGGCATTTACTGATCTTAACTACAAATAATCAATAAAAAATGAGGTTTGAAGGAAAACGTGTTATTGTGACAGGGTCAAATAATGGGATTGGAAAAGCAACTGCAATACTATTCGCAAAAGAAGGCGCTAGTGTGTTAATACATGGAAGGGATTTGAATGCTATAAATGAAACTGTCAAAGAATGTAATGATATTGCTGGGAAAGATGCAAAGTTTCCAATTGTCAAAGGAAACATTGAAGATGATGATGTGGTAATGAAAATCAAAGATACAGCAGTTGAGACTTTTGGGAAAATTGACATTCTCATTAATAATGCTGGAGGCGGAAGTGCCCAATCTTTAGGCGACACCCCTATGTCTGTTTTTGATGAACAGTACAAAATTTTGCTACGAGCGCCAGTGTATCTTTCCCAGTTGTGTTTTCCTGAATTGAAACGAAACAATGGAAACATTGTTAATATATCTAGTATGATGGGAACTGAGCCTTCAGATTCCATTCCATTTTACAGCATGTCTAAAGCAGGATTGAACATGTTTACAAAATGTGCAGCGTTGGAGTTTGGCGCTCAGGGGGTCCGTGTCAATGCAGTTTGTCCTGGTTTTCTGATGACAACAATGCATCGAAAAAATGGAATATCTGATGAAGCTGTACAGGAATTTTATGATTCAGTCGCCAAGACAGTGCCACTCGGTAAAGTAGGCACAAAAGAGGAAACCGCAAAACTCATTGCATTTCTAGCATCAGATGATGCATCCATGATGAATGGCGCATGTGTGGTGCAAGATGGTGGAAATTCATTGATTGGACTCGATAAAAAATCGCTTGAAAATGCAGCAAATTAGAATCATTATGTATATCTATAAACATAGACGTAGCCAGGAGGGGGTGCGATGGTGCAATCGCACCCCCCATAACCAATGAAAATATAACCATTACTGAGAGCTGGCTATGCCCCTGTTAATAAACATACAATACATACCTGGAGGTAGACCTCCATAAATGACTGCACACTCTAGGTTGCGACGTTCAACCTGCCTACTGACATGGTAGATGTCATTCTTACTAAAGCAAACAATGCAATCACCAGCCTGTATGTTTTCAAATTTCTCTGAAATAAAACAAGAAATATATATATGAAGAGTGTACTAAATAATGACTAAAAGTGCTTACATTTTACAAATCTGAGTTAACAGAAGCTTTGTTATGGGGATCTCATCATTTATCCTATACTCAGTAGTGTTATTATTATCATTATTTAAGGTAAAATGACATGCAGGAATATAATTGATACCTGAGATGAGTGGGGAATATATGTATATTAGAGTGCTATACTGCCAATCCCATATGCATCTAGACTTTAACCAAGGACTTACAATTGACAATTGAAGTCTTTCCTATATGTAATTTTATTTTAGAGTTAATTTTATCCATGTACATGTATTCTCATAGTTTATAGTTAGTTTTTAGTTAGATTAGTTTCTTAGTTTGTACATAGAGTAATGTGTCACGCTTTGACTCTTTTGTCAATAAAGTAATGCACCGACAGAAAGGCAATTTTGTTTTGCTTTTAATGGTATAAGTTTGAAGAAAAAACGGTGCAGTATGAGACTCGCAATCCTTGATTTTCGAGCATCTGGTAGGTCAAAAATTCAAATTAACGGTCGAAGTTAGGACCGCGTGATATATATGAAGAGTGTACTAAATAACGAATAAAAGTGCTTACATTTTACAAATCTGAGTTAACAGAAGCTTTGTTATTGGGGATCTCATCATTTATCCTATACGTAGTAGTGTTATTATTATCATCATTTAAGGTAAAATGACATGCAGGAATATTATTGATACCTGAGATGAGTGGGGAATATATGTATATTAGAGTGCTATACTGCCAATCCCATATGCATCCAGGGCACGCCTTAAGCCAAATTTCCCTGCTGGTCATCATGACCAGCAGTATTAAAACTCGAGGTGGTCAACTGTAGAATCAGCTGGTCACAATGACCAGCAGCACTCCAAAACCTGCTGGTCATTGAGAGATTTAGCTGGTCAATGAAAATAAATCAGAAAAAACATCACATCGTAGTAAAAATTATTTGATCGTAGTGAAACTCATTCATAGTCATCATGGCGCATGGATCTATCTAATGAGTGATGAACTTATAACCTAAGCACTCATTACGAAACTTTTTCAACCGCCATTTTTAAAAATTGAACTGGAAATTATCATTTTGCGGCAATTTATGGCTTAAAAGGGACATAAATTATAGTTCTAGATGATCTAGGATTACTGAGTAATCTTTCTAGCTATTCTGCATACCTTCAGAACCCTGCTTGGCGCCAGGTTTGGCCGGAATGATTCAACCCGCAGATTTTGCAAATGCATCGAACTTGACCGGAAATAGAAATAGTTCCTGAATTAGGCAAGGAGGATTGGCTCCCAGGATCGAAACTCGATATTTTCCAACAATGAAAACGTCGAAATGTCGTTATTTTCTGAAATTAAAACCGACTATAAATTCAAAATAAACAGTTCAAAAGATTCGAACCAATATCTCGATCATTTCGACCAAAATTCACGATTTAAATGTTGAAGTGAACAAAATGGCGGCTGTTTGAATTCGAATTTTGTATAACGACATACCCATATATGGGACAGAATATCGGTGGTGCACTCTGGGAGCCAATCCTCCTTGTGAATTAGGGTAAAATTAGCATTCGCTACTTTCCGTTACCTATATTTGGATATATTCGTATATTCACGTGATACTGATTAATTATGCATGCAGTGACGTAAGGGTTGATTAATTATGTATGCAGTGACGTAAGGGCTGATCTATTAATGACACTGACCCCTGTGGATCATCGTCGAACAGTTAACAAACGTAGGCTCCATTAATTAATATCAAATTAAATATAAGGGGCGTGTAAAGATGAATGAACAGCCACACTCCCAGCTAAGTTTAGGGGTCATGTCAAGGTATCGGACAAAATATCCAGGCCGTATTTCCAGTTGACTAGTATGTATCGGTCAGTATGTCCGACAGTTTTTAATTTTCAACCGGTCCCATCAATATTCTACCAGACAAGTCCGACAGTCCGACGCTTAAGGCGTGCCCTGTATGCATCTAGACTTTAACCAAGGACTTACAATTGACAATTGAAGTCTTTCCTATATGTAATTTTATTTTAGAGTTAATTTTATCCATGTACATGTATTATCATAGTTTATAGTTAGTTTTTAGTTAGATTAGTTTCTTAGTTTGTACATAGAGTAATGTGTCACGCTTTGACGCTTTTGTCAATAAAAGAAAAATATAACATGACAAAATGTCACCACCTAGTTGCTCACAATATTATTAGTTCAATCTCAGATTTGAATTTCTGTGAACTTGTAGATGATTTTGAAAATAAAAATTGGTCAATTTGAAGCAAGTTGAAACCAAACCTTTTTTTGACAGTGAGAAGCTCAATGAAGGTGAAATCTCAAATCTAAAGTCAGATTTGAACTTCTGAGAACTTGTGGATGATTTTGAAAAACATAATTGGTCAAATTGAAGCAATTTGAAAAAAGACCTTTTTGACCTTGTGAAGGTCAAAAAGGGTATAACTCTTGGGAAATACCCCGTATCAGCAAAAATCCCGTATCAGATCCCGTATCAGAAATATTCCCCCATCCCTCCCATTAAATAACCTCTATTTATCCTATGCCAAGTAGAGTTTAAGGGAGATAAGTTGGTAAGATATATCCTGTATCCTGATTTTGAGGTTTCCATATCCAGAACCTCCATATCTCCCGCCATATCTCCCGCTTCGTGCATATCTTCCGGCTTCTGTGCATATCTTCCCGCTTCTGGTAAGTAGTGGAAATGCAATAAAATGACTATGCATATGAATGATTTGTTATTGCCCCTGAAACTCTACTTGGTATATAGGATAAAGCAGTTATGTACGGTCGGTTTGGATATTGGGTTCATCCCTCGTGAGATATGCACATCTACCTTCAGTCCCTACAGTCCCTCAGGTAGATATGCATATCTCCCTCTGGATAAACCCCATATCCAAAACCTCCCAGTACATAACTCTTATTTATCTACCCCTGGTCCTTACAGTCAACATATTCTAAAAACATATTCTTTAGTTGATTTACTTTCAAAATAAGTATGGAATCAGCGAGATAACACTATGACCTTTGTTATTTCCAAAGAATATAACACATGTTCATATTATATTCGATTTATACCTTATTGATGATGATCCTTTTCTAAAAATTTCTATTCATATAACACTCCCATATAACACAAAAATAGAGACTTCAATCTATGCATTCCTGATGTTTTTTTACTCCAATTCTTCAAAAAAGTTTAATTTGATTTTAACTTGACTTTAATTTGGGCACTCTCTATTGCTTGTTACAACCTCTTTTCTGTTTTCCCAGCCCTTGTGCACACCCTGCCCCTGTGGATGAGCTGATACTTTTTACTTTGAAATTGAAATGAAAAAATTAGATTTTCCACTTATATCTGAGTTATTTTCAAGACTAATGGATATACTGACTGACTGACAGAAGGACAGACAGATAGATGGAGGGCTTCACTATGTCTCTCACAAACTTCTTTCATTTGGATAATAAACCTTGGGAAAATAAAAAAATTCGCGCCAGAACCTAAAACCCAAGAAGAAAAAACTGTATCTTTTGCAGAAAAGACGATTCACCATGAGATGAGCTATGGGTTTAACTAAATACTGTACTTACCCACTGCATAATCAAGGTACTTGAGTGGGGTCAGCCTTTTATACTTCCTCACCTAAAGAAAAATTTAGAGTTGATTGTCAAGGTGTCTTTGAGCTTGAGCAAGATGGCAAGTCACTAGGGTGTATGGAAAAGACAGACCACTACTCTACCGCCACATAAAAGAGATGCATGCTGATTACAATTTCATCATTATCCATTAATTGGGGCTTAAAAGACTTAAATCAAACATACAGTGACTGAGAAAATAAATATAACGCTATGAAAGTTAACTTTAAATAACATGCCTAACCATCGACAAGGTACAGTGACAAAATATACCGTAGTACACTTTAGATGTACGATGTGGTTAGCTACGATGTCACTATTTAATTGATTCGAGGAAAAAACAATGATGCAGGTGTGATGTAGGTTTTAAAAAATCAATCTTTGGAATACTTGAAAGATTTCATGTTTACTTTCGTGTGTATTCGTTTAGGAAGACATTTAACTTTCTAATGACGTTAAAAGATTTTCGAACAGTGCAGGATTTTTTTCGTATAATGTTATTTATGATTTAAAATTGTTCTTTTTGATACTAAAATTAAATAAAAACTTGAGGGACTGAGAAATTAAGTGCAAGGCATAGAACTTTTAAGGTCAAATGAAGAAATTAAGTGGAACTATCAGTCGCAGCTCGTTGACTTAAACCCCTCCAAATGTTTGGCAACCCTAATTCCCCAGTCTCTAAAGTGTAAGTCGGTACTTTAGCCTCCATCCACCAAATAGTCGGCTTTTGGTGTGCGTGTGTAGGTAGATGGATGGATGGATGGATTGGTGGATGGGTGGATGGGTGGATGGATGGAAAGTATCTCGAAACAATTGTCTTTTATCTCTCAATATTTATATTCTTTATTGGTGTCCAAAGACGACTAAATTAAAACATCTATCTTATCTTATCTCTGAGTGGCAATACCACTGTTACAATATTATAAACATGTGAGCTAAAAATGAGAATCATGAGTAAATAAATGAAAAATAGCAATGGCATCAAAACAAATAAAAAGATAAAACCATAAAAACTTTTGAGGGTGATAATTAATGTTTTCTAAAATCATACATATAGAAGATTAATACTAAGGATAATATTCTTCATATAATATAGTGACTCAGCATTAAGAGCTAGTTAAGACAGGATCATCAGGAGAGAAGCAGCAGAATGAAATAGAGTAATAATTTATTGCAGTAACACGCAGTCTCTTACATTAAGATATAAAGTTGCTGATATGGATTTGTTGTAAACAATACAAATATTCTCTTAGGCATCTTTTGGAATCGTAGACTTGAATGAAGATGACATTTTAATCTCAGCAGCAAAATGTACTGTGCTTCTTGTGACTTACTATGCTTTCATACAATTTGCAAGGTGTGGATAAATATCTAATTCAAGCAGACAGGATACATTTAAACAAGCATTAAAAGGATATACATTAAAAGTTTGACGTAACTAAATCAAATTAGATTAAGTTAAGTTGAGATCCAGCAATAAGCGATAAGATCTTGATGCTTGCAAACGAGTCAAAATCAGAGGAAAGACATTCACTGTTCTGCACAACTTTCATTCAGGGATCACACATATTATTGTATGACAGGTGGTTTTAGACAGTCATAACTTTTCATGTACTATTTCCTTGAAAGCAACATTGAATCTCTAACTCTAGTCAGAGGAGTAAACCACACTATAATATGATCAAAAGTAAGCGCCAAAATTAATGTACAATTTTTACAAGATCAATGGATAATAAAAACATGATTCATGAGAACACTACTACACTACTATCCATCAATCGTAAGGAACAAGGTTATAACATAGAGCCACATCTTGGATTATTTGTAATTTTAGGTTGTATAAGTGTCCTAATTCTACTCAGTAATTCTATAGCTTTACTGATTATCACACTGAACAAGGGGCTATGGAATTGTGCTGGTGCCATCATGGGGTCAATAGCCATAGCAGACAGTTTCATTGGACTAACGACACTTGTGCCTTTGATATTTGCATCTCTGAATTCAAAGATGAGCTTCATTGTCTGTGATGGTATAGGATTTCTGAATTCTGTTTCCATGTTTGTCTCGATATATTCTATGATGTTTCTGACTGTTAATAAATGGCTCGTCACATTGCAGCCATTTAATAACCATCCTAGAGGACCTAAAGCCCTATGTCTTGCTGGTATAATTGCCATATGGGTAATTAGCCTGACTTTGTGGAGTCTCCCTCTAATGAACATTGGCCAATTCACTTACAATAGCGAAGAGAAAACATGTTATTTAGATTTTGGGAAATACCCTGTCCAAGCCTTGTTGATGATGGCTATTACATTTGTCCCATCAGGAATAATAACTGGGGTATGTTACAGTAAACTGTGGAAACATACAAAGGCATACCAGAATCAAATCACACCTTCAACAAATCAAGTGAAGAGGGCTTGTAAAACAGGAGAAAAAGCTTTGCGATCACTGGCTCTGATATTTGGAATGTTTTATCTATGCTGGCTGCCTTTTGTGACGGAACATGTTGCTAAAGCAATCATGGGACATGATGAGTATATTCCAAAATGGTTGGAGATAGCATCATATCTTTTAGCAATTTCTAACTCCTTTTGTAATCCCATCATCTACTACTGGACAAAAAGGGCCTACAGGGCAGCTGTAAGGAAGGCTCTATGTAAGGGTGGAACAGAGGTTGTCCCCATAGACTCTAGCAGAGATTTGGTTACTTTGGCTAAACCCAAAGATAATCCTAATGAGGCACTAACAGCAGCTCAAAAAAAAGTGGAAGACAACTTTTGTACAACACAGTTTAAAGAGAACAGTAGACTTCCAACACACAATGATGTACAGTCTCAAGGAATCCAGCAGAGAACATCAGCTTCAAGTGTAAGGATTGATGATCTGGGAATATCATTTACTACCATTTAGGCCAGTATTGAAAATATTTAATACACTGTACATAGAGCTTCATGCACTTCCTTGATATGATGTGACGCCATTTTTGCAATTTGCATTATCAGAAAATTATATTTTCATGAGAAATGGTGGCCATTTTGAATTCAGCATTTCTTCTTGAGCAGAGTCCTATGCCAATAAGGCATCAGCACATAAAATCTGACAACTGGTATTTGAGTGAAATGAAAAATTATATTTACTCTGAAATAATAAGGCATATAAAATCTGAAGCAAATCCATCAACTGGTATTTGAGTTATCAAAGATTACATGTTTCATAAAAATGGTCACCATTTTGAATGGAGTGGATGTAGTGGCCATATTAGAAGGCTCTCTTTTTGGCCAAATCCTCTATCTGATTTTTGATAAATTAAAAATAACATTTTTCTTTGAATTCAGAGCAGCCATCTTAAAAATGCCTTCTTGAGCAGAGTCCCACATCCCTTGATTAACATATAAAATTTGAATCAAATATCCCTCCTGAACTTAATTAAGCAGGATATTAAAAACAGTTAACGTCAATGAAGGGACATTAGCAATTCAGCCAGCTCATAGTGATAATGGACTAAGATGATTCAATGGTTTTGATCAATTAAAATCGCCATTACTTGGGAAGCTGCTTTGTGTCTTAAAAGGATGCCTTAAAATGGTGACTTGGTATAGTTTTCACCATAAACAACCCTAAAATATTTAAATTTATACATTTACATTTGAGCATGACTGTATCAACACCTTCTATAAACTGTAAACAAAGTCAATATTTCGAATTGATCTGATTCATTGTCACAAACATTATTACAATTTTTTTTGGTTTTAGACGTTTTGAATGCAAACTGCATCCATGATCACTAAATTTAAATTGAAAACCGTTGAAATGAATACAGGTAAATCTACTATTACGTCATTAAATTTTAATCTTTCATTCAAAATGTCTAAAATTGTAATAAAGTCTGTGACAATGAACACTAATAAATGGATTTAATATCACCAGACTATGAACTTATTTAATGTAAAAAGAAACGGACAGTTTCTTTATATCACTAAGTTGGTAATGACTTTGAAGATGTATAATGCATTGCAGATTGGCAGGTTCACATCTAATGAGTGTTATATTAATTACATATCTGTACATATAAAATGGAATCTTATTCTGCTAAATATAAATAAATATAAAATACTGTTAATTGCAATGCAATTATTACCATGGAAATGAGTAAACATGTATACTTATGTAATCATGTATGCGTAATGATACGATATGACTTATGTAATCATGTTATGATGCATGTGTTTCATTACATGATACCATATGTCAATTTATTAGGAGGCCCCATCGGGGGGCCTCCTATCAATTTTGTAGATATTATTCTTTATTATTCTTTATTAGGAGGCCCCGACAGGGGGCCTCCTATTAATTTTATAGATATTATTATTATTAGGAGGCCCCGACAGGGGGCCTCCTATTAATTTTATAGATATTATTATTAGGAGGCCCTCCTGAAAGGGCCTCCTATAGCTTTTGTAGCTTTTCTTTATTCTTATTATTCTTTATTCTTTATTCTTTATTTATTATTCTTCCAAAGCATTTTTCTCCTACTTCCAACTACCTTTCAACTACCTACTATATGATCCTACTAGTAACCTTGGCTGGAATAGGGGGGAAAATATTTTTTATCTAGGTCAAGGTCAAAGGTCAAAATCTAGGTCAAATCTAAGTTTTTTTTCAAGTTTCTCAAGTTTGTCCTTATACTTCATTATTTCTTGCGATGAATTAAACTGAAACTACATTTAAGTATTCTCTACAAATTGTTCACTATATGTCAGCATTAAATTTTTACCATTTTTGAGATATTTGACGTCAAAAAACGGTCAAAAAAGGTCATTTTTCAACTTGCTTCAATCTGACCAAATTTTTTTTTTAAAATCATCTACAAGTTCCCAGGAGTCCGAATCTGACCTCAGATTTAACCTTTGACCTTTAGTTGACCTTCAGTGACCTTCGAAAGGTCAGAAAAGTTGATTTTTCAAATTGAGTCTTTGGATTCAAATTTGGGTCAATCTAATTACAAATAGCCTACTGAGGTCTAAAAAAGTAAAAATTTCAAGGTCAAAGGTCAAGGTCATCAAATTAGGTCACAAACTGTGCTATCTAAGTTTCTCATAGTTCAAGACTACAAATCAATATTTTTAATTGAAAGTCAAGATGTACATTCCTCTGAGGGTTCTACACATATTAGTCATTGACTATTTATTAAAATTTTGTCCCGGTTTTGAGATATAAGAGCTCAAAAACTGAAAAAGGTCAATTTTTTAAAGTTTATAAGGTCAAATTTTAACTTGCTTCAAATTCACCCAACTTTTTTTTTTAAATCATCTACAACTTCTCAGGAGTTCATATTTAACCTCAGATTTGACATTTGACCTTTAGTTGACCTTCAGTGACCTTCAAAAGGTCAGAAAAGTTGATTTTTCAAATTGAGTTTTTGGATTCAAATTTAGGGTAAGCCTAATCATAAAAGACCCACTGAGCTCTAAAACAGTACAATTTTCAAGGTCAAGGGTCACGGTTATCAAATAAGGTCAAAGGTCAAAATCTAGGTCAAATCTAAATTTTTTTCAAGTTTCTCAACTTTGTCCTTATACTTCATTATTTCTTGCGATGAATTAAACTGAAACTACATTTAAGTATTTTCTACAAATTGTTTACTATATGTCAGCATTGAATTTTTACCATTTTTGAGATATTTGACGGCGAAAAACGGTAAAAAAAGGTAATTTTTCAACTTGCTTCAATCTGACCAAATTTTTTTTTAAAATCATCAACAAATTCCCAGGAGTCCGAATCTGACCTCATATTTGACCTTTGACCTTTAGTTGACCTTCAATGACCTTCGAAAGGTAGGAAAAGTTAATTTTTCAAATTGAGTCTTTGGATTCAAATTAAGGTCAGCCTGATTAAAAAAGACCTACTGAGGTCTAAAAGGGTAAAACTTTTCAAGGTCAAAGGTCAAGATCATGAAATTAGGTCACAAACTGTGCTTTCTAAGTTTCGCAAAGTTCGAGACTACAAACCAATATTTTTAACCCGAAGTCGAAATATACACATCCCTCTAAGGGTTCTACACAATATATAAGCAATTGACTATCTAATAGAATTTTGTCCCAGTTTGAGATATAAGGGTTCAAAAATTGAAAAAAGGTCAATTTGGAAATTTTCAAGGTCAAATTTAAACTCGCTTCAAATTGACAAAATCTTTTTTTGAAAATCATCTACAAGTTCTCAAGAGTTCACATCTGACCTCAGATTTGATCTTTGTCCTTTAGTTGACCTTCAAATTGTCAAAAATGCCTAAGAGGGCCTCCGTGAGATTGCTTGCAATCTTCAAAAGTCTAGTTATTATTATTCTTTATTTATTTATTCTTCCTAAACCTTTTTCTCCTACTTCCAACTACCTTTCAACTATCTACTATATGCACCTACTAGGGACCTTGGCTGAACTTGGGGGGAAAGGAATTTTTATCTAGGTCAAGGTCAAAGGTCAAAATCTAGGTCAAATCTAAGTTTTTTTCAAGTTTCTCAAATCCTGATTCTACACTTCAATATTTTTGGCTGAATTTTTGCATTCAGATAGATATTAGTATTCTATTAGTCTTAGCCTTTTGCCGTCTAGAGACATTTTGCCTAGATTTTGAGATATTGAAGGTCAAAAAAAGGTCAAAAAAGGTCTTTTTTCAACTTGCTTCAAATTGACCAAATTTTTTTTTAAAACTCATCTACAAGTTCTCAGGATTCCGAATCTGACCTTACTTTTGACCTGTGACCTTTGGTTGACCTTCAGTGACCTCCGAAAGGTCAAAAAAGTTGATTTTTCAAATCGATTTTCTGGATTCAAATTTAGGTATATTTATTCACAAAAGACCTCCTGAGGTCTAAAAAAGTAAAATTTGCAAGGTCAAAGGTCAAGGTCATCAAACGAAATCACAAACTATGTTTTCTAAGTTTCTCAAAATTGGAGACTACAAATCAATTTTTTTTACTGAAAGTCAGAATATATATTCCTCTAAAGGTTCTACACATATTAGCAATTGACTATTTATTAAAATTTTGCTTCAGTTTTGAGATATTAGAACTCAAAAACAGAAAAAAGGTCAAATTTCGAAATTTTTCAAGGTCAAATTTCAACTTGCTCTAAATTGACCAAACTTTTTTTTAAAAAGCATCTACAAGATCTCAGGAACTCAAATCTGACCTTAATTTTGACCTATGACCTTTAGTTGACCTTCAGTGACCTTCGAAAGGTCAAAAAAATTGATTTTTCAAATTGATTTTCTGGATTCAAATTTAGGTTTATTTAATCAGAAAAGATATACTGAGGTCTAAAAAAGTAAAATTCGCAAGGTCAAAGGTCAAGGTCATCAAACAAGATCACAAACTGTGTTTTCTAAGTTTCTCAAAATTGGAGACTACAAATCAATTTTTTTTACTGAAAGTCAGGATATATATTCCTCTATGGGTTCTACACATATTAGCAATTGACTATTTATTAAAATTGTGTACCAGTTTTGAGATATTGGAACTCAAAAACTGAAAAAAGGTCAAATTTCGAAACTTTTCAAGACTAAATTTCAACTTGCTTCAAATTGACAAATTTTTTTTTAAAACTCATCTACAAGTTCTCAGGATTCCGAATCTGACCTTACTTTTGACCTATGACCTTTGGTTGACCTTCAGTGACCTCCGAAAGGTCAAAAAAGTTGATTTTTCAAATCGATTTTCTGGATTCAAATTTAGGTATATTTATTCACAAAAGACCTTCTGAGGTCTAAAAAAGTAAAATTTGCAAGGTCAAAGGTCAAGGTCATCAAACGAAATCACAAACTGTGTTTTCTAAGTTTCTCAAAATTGGAGACTACAAATCAATATTTTAAATGAAAGTCAGAATATATATTCCTCTACTAAAGGTTCTACACATATTAGCAATTGATTATCTATTAAAATTTGGCTATAGTTTTGAGATATTATAGCTCAAAAACTGAAAAAAGGTCAAATTTCGGAATTTTTCAAGGTCAAATTTTTACTTGCATTAATTCGACCAAACCTTTTTTAAAAGTCATCTACAAGTTGTCTGGAGTTCACATATGACCTTGTATTAGAGATTTGACCTTTGGCTGGCCTTTGAATGTTCAGAAACGAATATAGGGCCTCCGTAAGATTGCTTGCAATCTTAGATCGTTAGATCTCTA